CAAGAACGACTCGCAACCTCCTGGAACACACCTGGAACGGCCTGCAGACTGATTCCGAGAGTCGTTTTCGTCGCTCTGTCTCTTCTCGCACTCATGGGGCGTCCCGTGTAGGTGCGAGAGAGACGGCGCGACGAACAGGGCTCTCGGAATCGGTCTACTGGATAATTTGCCTGGCCGCACTGAAGCATTGAAGGGCCAGGGGCCGCCACCCGCCGCATTCATGTGTCGGACCGCAAAGCACTTCCCCCGCCCCCTTCCACCGGCTTTTGCTCCATACTCGAGTGCCCTTTGCGCTTTTCCATAAACGGCGCCACCACGACATCGCGGGGAAAGTAAGGCGAGGGAGTGAGTGGAGTGCCGCGGCAAGCCGTGCCTGCCGTGCTCCCATACGGCTACCGCCGGTAGCGCGCGGCCCCCTGCGGGCCCCGGCGGCCCCCTGCGGCCCGCTGGACCGTCTGGGTCGCTGCTGAGGCCGCCTTACCCCGCGTCACTCCGCGTCGGTGTCGTGGACGTGGAGTCCGTCGCCGAGGCCCTCGCCTGGCCCAGGGCGCCGTGCGAGGTAGGCAGGCCCGCCGCGCACCACTGCATCGCCGCGCCCCGTGGCTGCCTACCTCGCAGGCGGCCAGCCTCCATACCTCTTAAACTTGGCGAGCTCTGCACACTGATTCCGACAGTCGTGTTCGTCGCTCTGTCTCTCTCGCACCTAAAGGGGATGCCCCATACGTGCGAGAGAGACAGCGCGACGAAAACGACTCTCGCAATCAGTCTGCAGTGACCAGAGACGCGGGAAAAGGATGAAAGAGCGGCAGGCGCTGCGGCCGATTATCCGTGGCGGTGCGGTGCGGCGGGCCATTCAGGGTGTGGGCGGCAGGGCAGGGCAGACAGGGCGGCCAGGCCGAGCGCCCCGGAGTGCGGTATGGCTAACCAGCGGGGCAGAGCGGTCCCTATAAGGCGCAGGCCAGGCCGGCCCGGCCTTTGGGCCTTTGGGGCGCACACCTCGGCCCCGCCCCGCCCCGCCCCGCCCCGCCCCGCCCCGCCCCGCCCCGCCCCGCCCCGCCCCGCGCTCTCGCTGCACGACCATCCGTCACTTGCAGTTTCTCAGCGCCGTACGCCGTAAACCAACCGATCGTGAACCACGACACGCGGGGATTTTCGTCGGCGAGCGCGATAAAAGCGCACAATGTGGTTATGCAGACCCGAGCCCCTGCCCTGCCACGCGACCATTTCTTCCACCGCTGTCCGTCACAACGACTCCGCTCTTTTTTGCTCTATAATGGGGCCGCGTATGTAAATAACACCGGCCGCGGGGTGGGGCGTGGCGGGGCGTGGCGGGGCGTGGCGGGGCGTGGCGGGGCGGGGCGGGGCGTGGCGGGCGGGGCGAGCGGCGCTACCCGACCGGCGCCGGCCCGACAAGGCCCGGACCCCGGTACTCTGAATAACATCTAATCTCTAAATCGCCAATTGCTCCACATCACTGCCAGCGACTGCCCGCGCTTGCCCCGCCCGGATAATCTCGCTTCGCGCTGCCTCTCTCGCACTCACGGGGAGCCCCGCACCGCGGGGGTGCGAGAGAGGCAGGCAGAGAGCACTGCGAGGAATCAGTCGGAGGAAGCCCCACAGCAGGTCTCCGCCAAACTTGAGCCCGCCTCCAGTCATGCTCCAGCCAGCTTCCAGCTCCAGCCAGCCTCCACAGCACGATCGTCCAGCCGCCCGCCGCGGTGTGGAGTACGGTCCTGCCGGGCTGCCAGCAGGCTGTTTCCGAAAGTCGCTTTCGTCGCTCTGTCTCTCTCGCGCTCACGGGGCGTGCCGTATGGGTGCGAGAGAGACTGAGCGACGAAGGCGACTCTCGGAATCAGTCTGCAGGCCACGGCGCTTTTCCGGGGAAAGCGCATCCCGGTGACGTCTAGCCCTAGGAGGGCCGGGCGGGCCGGGCCAGGGCCCCGTCAACGACGACGCCGTCGCGTCGCCCCGTTGCGCAACTCGGCGAAAAACCGAAGCGATGGAAAAGCAGCCAGCAAAGTTACGGAATGAAAAAATGGTGCGCGCAACGAGTGCAATCGGCCTTTCAGTGAAACCGTCGCGGGGGCGGGATGGGGGGGAGGGGGATTTGTCACGCCGATTTCCTCGACGGATCGGTTTCGGGAGACAATCTGGGCGCAGCGCAGCGAAACTGCAGCAAGGCTCGAGCAGGGCTCGTCATCTCGAGACATGTTGCGGGCGAGGGCGTTTTCTCTATGGGCCTCTCCCCGAGGACGGGCGTGCCTGGCGTGCTGCTTGGTGCCGCGTCGTGCCACTTCGTGCCCGCCGGGCCGGGCCGGGTCGGTCCTTGTCCACCTGCTTTCGCCACTCGGACACTCCCCTCGTGGCGCCGGGCCGAGCAAAGCCGGGGTGGCTGCTTCAAGAGGGCGTCCCGTCAACACGCGGTTTGGCGGAGGGGGGGGGGGGGGGGTGCCGCGTGTGGCCCCATAAAACAGAAGAAGCGACGAGGAAGCTGGCGCGCTGGCGCCTCGTAAGGTGTAGGGTCCTCTGCCCAGCGACGCCCACGCCCCGCCGGCCGGGCCCCGCCACAGAGTGCAGGTGGAGTGGAACGACATCCAGTCACAATTCCTATTCCTACACTGGAAAGCGGCCGCGTGCGGCAGACTGATTCCGAGAGTCCTTTTCGCCGCTCCGTCTCGCTTGCACTCAAGGGGCGTTCCGTGCGGGTGCGAGAGAGACAGCGCGCCGAGAACGACTCTCGGAATCGGTCTGCAGGACTGCGCAGGGCAGGCCGACGTGCCCGCCGACGTGCCCGCCGCCACGCGGGAAGGGCTTAGATGGGCGGCGTGGGCGGCGCGGCACGCCGCCCGCTTGTTTGTCCGCGTCGAAGAGGCATCCCGTCCCGACGAAAGAAAGACGCGAGTCTGTCGCCGCCGTGTTGTCGCCCCGCTTTTACAACTTGGTATACGCCGCCGCGCCGCCGTGGGGGGGGGGGGGGAAGGAATGAAATGGAATTGAGGCGAACAACGCAGTGCTGCCGTGTCTTTCGTCTTTCTCCGCGTGCCCCGTACATGGGCCCAACTAACAGGCGCGTAACAGTCCGAGCGCAGCGTGACTCAGCGCGCCAACGAGTGGAGCGAGCAAGTCGAGGGCGCAGCGCGGCGCAGCGCGTGCAGGCCGCCCCGTTTCGGCGGCGTCCGCTCCGGACTCGAGTCTGAGGTCGCGAGGCTCTTTGACTATTTTTCTCGCGTCGCTGCGATCCCGATCCCCGGCTTAATCCCCCCCAGCCTCATTTCCATGCCGCCATGATGTGTCTCCATCCGCCCCGCCGTGCCGTGCCGTGCCGTGCCGCGCCGGACTGCCGCACGCCCACACGCGCCATTTGTCCACCTCGCGGTCTACCTCTCCGGCGCGCCTCCACTCTACCCATTAGCCGGCAGGCCGACTCCGAACACTGCTTTCGTCGCTCTGTCTTTGTCGCGCTCATGGGGCGCTCCGTAGGGGTGCGAGAGAGACCGACTCCGTTGTTCGGGACCAGACCACGGACTGAGGTCGCCGCGGCGCTGACTCACTGCTGCTCCGACTCCTACTGGCACCGGGCCTTTTCCTATTCCCCCAAAAGCCCAAAATTTGGAGTGTCACAGCCTCGAAAGTGCGGAGTGCGGCCGGCGAACGGCGAGGACGGCTTGGGGGCTTGGGGCTTCAAGGAACAAGCAGTCAGCCAGTGGCGGCGCGGCGAGGCGCTCCGCCGCCAGCCTTGGCAGCAGCAAGGCGGGCAGCGCGCCTAACGAGGTCCTGTGTCCGGCACACTCTTGAGATTACAGACAGAGGCCGTCGTTCTGCCCCCATGCCGCGGCCTGGAGAGACTCGGAGTCTCCCTGTCCAACGCGCCGGGTAAACCGAGGAACCACGGGGCGACTAGCAGGGGGACGCCTGGCTGGATATCTCTGCGGTTTGAGATTGGCAGTGTGCAACCCGGCACCGGCCACGCCCCAGCGATACGGTATCAAACTGGAGTGCTTGTTGTGGCCATTACAAGACAAGCCGATCTCATTTGAATACTTTACGACGTCCAGCCGGCCGGGGCGGCCCGGCGTCCCTGCAGTGTAGCCTGCACCCCGTCACGTCCAGCCACGTCGTCCAGTGCTAGTCCAGCCTGCACGCCCCGGGCAAGGTGGCGGACGGTGTCCTGTCCACCGGCTTCACGCTGCCATCTCAACGAGCCAGGCTAGCCAGGGCAGTCGAGTGCTTTCCCGCCATTTCCCACCCCGCCCAGCAGCGCGCCTTTTTGCAGTGCGGGCTGCAGGCTGCAGGGCGCGGAAAGGCAGGCGGGTCCAAGTATTACGTGCTCCGCGACGGCGGTGGCTGTGACGCAACGCCCACACGGAAGCTTGGGCCGTGCTGAGTGGCTTCGCCTGGCTTTGCCGTTCCGTTCGCTACATTTTCTATTTTATCGGCCGCGATTGGGCGATGGGCCCGGCCGGCTCAGCCCGGCTTGGGAATGGTGGCGAGTCGGTGGGCGAGCCGCTCGCTCGGGGATAGGCCAGCGCTGTGACTAGCTCCACGTCTAGGGGCGCTCAAGAAATAAAAGCCAAAGTCCGGGCGGTGGCCGTGACATTTTAAGTTTTAATGCAAAACGGCGGAAGATGGAGCGAGCGCGCCGCGAATCGCCAGGGTTCTTAGTTCTGCGTGGGCTCGGATCACCCAGCGACAAAGGAAGGAGAGCCGTGGTCCAGCAATTTGGCGATGGAACCATCGCAGAACAGTATGCTTTCCTAAGCCAAGGTCGCGTGGTCTTCCCCACTGTGCGGAATGGTCAGTTTCTGTCGATTTATTTTCTAGAAAATGCTATTGACCAGGCGGAGCAGCGCTCGCATGCGCCGGGTGGGTAGGCAACTCTTCGAGCATCGAGTCAGTTGCGCTGGTTATCCCAGCGGCTGAGCACTATGCTATTTTAGACTCAGAGTAGGTAAGTGAATCAATGCATTGGAGTGTCAGGAAAGAGCATTCAAGAGCAGTCATTCATATTTTTAAGTCAATATATTCAAGTCAAAATGTTCACATAAACTAGTATTCTGGGCACATAAAGTTTAAAGCTACAATCAAATCATTGAAAGCATGAAGCACAAGTTTCCATGCAAAACACCAAAAGCTAAAATTAAATCCCAGGGTCCAGAGTTCATTGGACAAAAAAATCTTCAGTTATAAAACCGATAAAATGGTAAGGTATCACATCAAATATAAAATCAAATCTAAAAGCAAGGACACGATTTTTTAAAAAAGTGCTTAACTAGAAGGACAACTAGCTAAATGTACAATCTTATCACATTTATAACCCTAACCATGGCGATCGAGTTCTGATGTTCCGCGAGATGAAACACCGCTGCAGGAGTCATCTTCATGAGGTAAAGCAGGGGGAGGAATAAACTTAACATTCTTCAAATAACTGTGGTTCATGGCTTCTACAGCTGTTACCCGTTTGCTGGGGTCATAGGTAACCATTTTCTAAAGAACATAAAAATAAATAAGTTAATAAGCACAAACACACAGAGAATTTCATTTTTCTTCTGGTGTACGAACCAAAAACAGGTCAACAGCTTCTTCATCCATCAGGGGAAGCACTTCTTTCATATCCTGAGGATCCCATCTTGGGAACATTGATTTGTAATCAGGGAGTTGTGACACGCCTGGCCACTTTGACTCATCTGGAGTTCCTAATGTGCGAAACACCCGGAATAGCTGGTCTATCTCTGAATCACCAGGAAATAATGGACGCCTTGTTGTCTGAGGAATGGAAAATTGTTTCCTGATAATGCATATACCTTAGTGTTATAATACTTGAACTATAAAGTACATACCATTTCTGCAAATATGCAGCCAAGACTCCAAATGTCCACAGCCATGGAGTAAAGCTTGGTGCCTAGTAAAATTTCTGGAGCTCGATACCATAAGGTAACAACTTCATGAGTGTAGGCTCTAACTGGCATACCAAAACCCCGTGCTAGTCCAAAGTCTGCCAGCTTGATGTAACCTTCTGTGTCCAAGAGAAGATTTTGCGGCTTCAGGTCTCGATGCAAGATGCGATTCTGATGGCAGTATGAAATGCCTTGTAGAAGCTGCTGCAAATAACTCTGCAAATAGCCAAAATGAAAAAATATGAATCATGCAGAAATTCAAATTTAGGTAGTTTGTAGTATTTCATCTTCCTTTCATTAACATTTGTAATGAATGGGTACATACCTTAACAAGATCAGGTGGTAATGTATCTTTGTAGGAGTCCAAGTACTTTTTAAGGTCATATGTGAGAAACTCAAAGACCAGAAATAGTTTTTTCTCACAATGCACCACATCTAACAGCTGGACAACATTTGGATGAGTCAACTCTTTAAGAAGTGAAATTTCACGTATGGCCGTTGAGGGAACACCTTCCGACTCACTGCCATAAAAAACAAGTAGAAAAGATAACAAATTTAGTTGAAAGCAAGCCAAACAAAGCTGATTGACAATATTCGTAAGCTCCAAATCCACATTTCAATTTCCAATGCACGATTATTCAGGTACAGTATCAATTTGAAAGCAATCAGCAGGACAGACACCATAACACCACAGAAAGGCTGGAATGTGCTCCAGGTAGACGTGATAAGAAAGAAGGAGGAGCGTTGTTAATGGAGAAGCAGATGTTAGTTGGTGTGTAATTTGAGGAAACACACACTAAGCTGAATCATGTGGTGCTACGATATATAAATAACACGCAGCAGACACAAGATTCAGCGAAGCAGATGTCTCACAGTTTAACTCGATATTTGACCGTTGAGTTCCATTAGATCCTTCCTTGAATAAATACCAACAAAAATTAAATACTAAGGTCTACAAGATATAAACTATGTCAATAGTTCTGATTGAGACTACTGATCTTCCAAAACATAAGACAAGGACACTACACGCTATCATTCAGTACACAATATGCAAGGTCAAATTCAACAACAAAATTTAAAAAAAATAAAGAAAGAAAATCAATACTAAACCTGACAAGAAAAAAAGAGTGAGGGTAAATGTCTTGCATTCAAAAGCAGAGGAGACATAGAGGAACAAGCAACATTTAATGAATGGGACTTAAGTAATAAAAGCAAGGAAACTCCACTTTTAAAATTCAAGGTAACACACCTTTCAACTGAAAAGGGGAAGTGAAACAAAGCACAAATAAATTTATAGTCTAACTTTGGGACAATTTGGGGGTAATACTCCAAATTGGGTGAAGTTTCTTTTAAAATCACGTACACACATACAAACGTATAGTAGATAAAAATCCAATGTAACATAGGTATATCTATCCGTAGCACGAATGTCTATTTCCAAATCAGAGCATAGATGTTGAGCACAAACTTTGACACAAAGCAGCCCCTAACCCCAAAAGCTGACACATTGCAGGCGCACGTCGTTGGTTAGTGAACAATGCGTGCAAACAAACACGTATGTACAGGTGCATGTCTTAACTTATGATTAAAACAACAAAATCACCTGTAAATATCAGGCAATACTTAATAATTGATAACCTGGTCTGGAGAAAGGCATACCTGGGCCCGAGCTCGCAGCGGAGGACACGCAGCAGTCCGGCTCCAGATAAAATCAAAAATAGCTTCTCATGGATAAGGAGAGTAAAATTACTTCAAGGAACGTCATCCCAACAATTAACCCAGCTCGGAAGGGCGTCAAAGCGATATTTAAAAGCCCGTGTCACACTGGAGCCTTGAAGGTCCGCCATTGTTGTTAAAAATTTGCTGCAAGAGGTCACACAGTGTGACCACCCGCGTGGGACGATTTTCATTTTATAGAAAACAGTGGAACATTGAAGTCAATGCAAGAGCTTCAATCCACAATGCAGTTTGAGTGAGTAAACATAAAATAAAAAGATCACTTCAAACAGCGCTTGAAAAAATTGGCTTTTCCAACCAATTGGAAACACGGTAGATAGTCAATGTACCGGACTACACTACGCAGTACAGAAAATATTGAAAGCTAATTAATGGGTAGACAAACTGTGCAAGAATAATTTTAAAAAAGAAAAAAAAAAAACAGCAGTTGATTTTACAAAAGAAACAAAAGCACCAAACCTACAAGAGGTATTCGAGTGCTGCAATTTGCATGTTGGTAAGGCTACAAGAAAGCGGGAGATTTAAAAGCCAACAAAAAAACATTTCTGATCACAAACCATGATTTTAACAGACAGCTAAACATCATGGGTCAGAATCTCATGCAATTACCTGAACGATTGAAAATATTAAAATTAAACTGGACTGTGCAACCGTTTGAAAGCGGGTTCAAAGTTCAACCAGGAAACAATGTATTGAATAGTAAAATTATAGATATGGGAATTAAACTTAAGAAACACTATACTAACACCCAGTACAATGATGTAAATAGTTTCCCTCGAAAAGAAGACATTCAACTTTCACAAGAACATGGATGGGTGACAACTTATTTAACGGCAAAAACATCAACGAGACCACAGAAAGCACAAGCAACATCGAACTATGAAAGGAAGGCAACTACACACCGCCTTAAGAACCCACAGTAAAAATGTGCAGCTTGGCAATGAGAACCCCTGATTAAACTATATCAACATCAAAATTATGTGCAGTAAAAACTTACGTTTCAAGTCGAATCTTCTTGAGGGCAACCCATTTCTTCGATTTCTTGCAAAGGGCTTTGTAAACGACACCATATGTGCCCTCCCCAATCTTCTCAATTTTCAGGTACTTCTCCATGTATTCCTTTTGATAGTCAAAATATGCACTAAAAACATCATTACTAATCCATGACTTTGGTGCTGTACTGTTCAGCTACAGGTGGTTAGGTTACCAAGCGAGAAGAAATCATCACTATTGCCTTGGGTGTTTCCTTCCAGATGTAAATAGTTCCTACGTTGGAGCTCATGTGCAAAAGTTTCTTAAGAATACTCCAAATAATACCAAACTTTTGGGATGAAACAACAAAATAGTAGAATAATAATCGGAACTCGGAACCGGCGTAGTGCTGATGCTATGTTTTGGCGCGAATCTTCTTTTTTACGCACGCAGGTAACACACTGTACAACAAAACTGGTCTCTGTCGCACTTACTTCTGGCCATAGAGGGAAAGAGAGACAGAAGTAGTCAATTTTCGAACGCGCCTCAGGTCCATAGCCGCCAACCTAACGACAAACAAAATATACTTATGTTCATTCGAAAGTTTAGCTTTTCCCGTTTAAACAAGAACAAATGAATCCATACGGGAGAAATAAGTAAGACCCAAACCTCGAGTATAGTTTGGAGTTTCCAGAAACTGCTCTATATTTTGAATAATTGGAAAGACATTTAGTGACGGAAATGTTAGGGGGCGGACAGTGGCGGGCCGGTTCAGATTTATCTTTAGTAGTTTCATAGCTCAGGGCGAGTTGTATGCGGTCTCAGTGTATCTCTCTCATTTTAAATTGGTTAAAATTTGTTATAAAGCATATCACTCTGTATATTGTCTCCAAAAAGCATTTCCTTTTTCAAATGGGGCTCAAATTTGCAGGAATAAAATAAAACCAAGAAGCTACAAAAAAATTCTTTATGAAAAATCTCACATATTTGATATTTTAAAATCCATATTTGGAAAAATCAGCACAGGTCAGTTAACAGCGAGTTCCTTTCCTCTTTTTTTTTACTAATATGGCATATACATTCAAAAGAAGCACTCAATCACAGAACAAGAGAACTCATGAAGAGTCCATTATCTTAGAATACAAATCATCTCAGTAATAAAATAAATTCTTTGCATGGACTTAACACATTACCATGAAAAGTTCCATAACTCAAAAATGCTCAACAGACTTGACTTTATAATGTACAAATAATTTAATGGCATACTGGCCAAAAAATGTATCACAGTCTTGTTTCAGCAAGTCTAGCAGCACCATATCAATATGTACAAAGTTATATTTATCTAGAAGATAATCTTCAAACTGCAGTGTAATGAAGAACTGGTGTCTTCCATTAGAATACAGGAATTTTTGATCTTGATACATGAACCAAGTCATCGTCTAAAGTGAGCAATGTCTGTAAAAACAAATGTAAAGAAATGAGTACACTGTCACAACAAAAAAACAGGCACCAAGTCATTTTCAAACTAAGGATCTGGAGAAAGCCTTACCATAAAGGAGAAAAACATACTGAAGGCTGATAAAAAATGCCAAATGTCATGTTTATCATAAAAATTCATAACCTGACACGGTTGGTTAAAGCTGCGAGACTGTGCAGGTGTGACCTGAAAATAGAAGACAATGTTTGAAGTTTATAGATTAAGCCCTGACAGGAAAAATTAGATGGTAAAGCCTGTCTTCAAATGTTAAGAGCAAAACAAAATTTACTATGTGTTGTCACTTACTGCCCATGATATAGACTTATGGAAGAAAAAGTAGAGAGACGATCCCCATCCTAGTGTTGCCAGTATAAGATAAGCGGCTGGTTGCAGAAGTAGCTTTTCCCCACACAAAAATTTCATAACAATGTAGAAAATGGTATACAGCATAAGGTTTGCCATGAAAATGGCTAAAAGGTACGATCCAAAGCTGCTGTCAAGGTGATAAATCCAGACAAGAGCAGCAAGACCCCAATTGGCCATGTTTCCTGCAAGATAACACAACATCTCGTTTAGAAGCATATACATGATCCAAGAACCGCAAAGCACTGCATTTAAATGAACATGTACCTAGGATAAGGAGTACCAAACGACTTGGATATCTTGGCTTAAAGAAAGCACAAGGATTGGGTATTATTTCTTGAATGCATAAATTATATGCCCTCCTAAACATACTGAAACCTAAAGAAATAAAAACAAGCATCATCAAGACCTTATTTAAAAAGCAGTTTATCTGGATCCTTACTTTGTTAAAGACTTACCAAATCGTAACCGTCCCATGTAATAAATCTTGCCAGATAACCACATGCAGGTGAGAACATGCAACACTGTGAACGCTGCCCAAAAGTATGTAGTTCCAGACAATATGCCAGCCACTCCAACTAATATAACTAGTGCAAGAACTCCAAAGGTGGCATAAGCACTAGCATTGATATCTGGATGACGTGTGTGATAAATTTTTAACATGCACAGCAGAGAGATGACATACATAAAGCTTGTATCTTTGGAAAAAACAAACAAAACCAAATTAGTTAGAACATGTAAAACAGAGTAAAAAGCAATAACTAAATATATATTTTGATATCTTTATACCAAACTGGAAGTTAGAATGATTGGGGCACACGTGGTAACAACCACTTAAAATGCCCTCCATCATCAAAGCAGCACCCATGGCATATAAAAGTCCATAATGCTGTGGTATACCAAAGGACTGCAAGGAGGAAAATATTATAGAAAGCAGAAAATAATACTTAAAGGAAAATAGTGTTGTAAGGCAGAAAAATATAATTACCCTGTCCAAGTCTCTAATTTCTGCAGCAGCTTTACAATGCATTATGTCTCGTCTGTATACAAGTATAACAAACAATAGGCCTAAAAGAAAATAGCCAATGTTTGAAAATACATGGTTGAAATCACTCAAAAAACCCAGAGGATACGAACAAAGGAAATTGTAGTAACATAGATCTTGATTGCCTGTTTGTTGGAGAACCTGCAAGGGAAAAGCATACATTTGAGATGTTTCTGGAAGCTTTAAGTGATGCAGGAAAAATTGAACCTCTGAACCTACCATCTGAGAAGACAAAACCAATTGCACAACAGGCAGAGCATAAAATGTAGCAACAGTCAAAAGGTTCCAGAAGTACATTAAGGACTTTTTCCTCAATATTTTTGGATTTTTTCGAGCAAGATCACAAACATACAGAATCTTTTTGGAACTGAAAATAAAAACCCATACAAAACAAGAATTAGGAACAAAAATTCTGTAAGAGCAGTTAAGCTAATTTTATCTTACCGTATAACATCTTTGTCATAATTTGCGTCATCTAATGTGTCAATGTCAGTTTCATCCAAGGAGGAATCCATAGATACGCCTGGGATTTAAAAAATAATAATTATTATCAATTAAACACTTTTTTATTAACATATGGTAAATACTACTTACAGTCAGGAGCAATGGTGGTATCTGATGTAGTGTCTAAGCCTCGATGACACCTTCTGCAATAAGGTTGAATATTTCCTCCTGATGTGGAGGCATCAAGATCAGGTGGTCCAGCCTGACTTGAGGTAGTGTCATTGATAAAATTGAAGAAGTCAGGATTATTTTGCTTTCTGGTGAAGAGAGACAACACTAAATTAGTCCCACATACACATACTAAATGGATTCTGTTAAATATGTTCTTGTCTTACTTAAAGAAGTATGCCACTGACACAAGTAGGGCAATCACGTAGATTGCCAAATAAATGGAGAGAGCTGATACTGTAGCTGTAACATATTCCTCATAACCAATGGATGGATGTAGAGAAAAGGCAACGCGCTTGCTCCTTTGAGTTGGTTCTTGTGATGAGACACCAGTACAGTCATAATCATCACCTTTCACCACAAAAACAATGTAAAATCCTAAGGGAAACAGGGACCTCTGATGGAAGAAATATTATCAAAGGTAAAAAAAATAGCAATAACAACTGTAGAAAGAAATAGTGTGAAACAATTGCAAGAAATGCTCACAGTAAGTGTAATACCACCACGAGAAGTCACAGTCTGGCGATATCCTTCAAATTGAACTGTTCTCTCTAAATCAAATACAGGGCACTGCAAAAAAATATCAGCCCTGTTCAAAAGAAATATACAAAATAATGGAGAAATATGAGGGAAAACGAACTTACGCTGATGTTTTGAATAGACACAACCATGCAGACATTGTCATCTGAATCAACTCTGAGGATTACAGTATCTAGAGATTGAGGTGCCCAGTTGAACTCATAAAATGTTGGCTCACTTGGGCTAACCGTCAGGTTGCGACCATCATTTACACCACTGAAATATAGGAGTCAAGATCATAGATATGGAGTAGATATGGAGTACCATTCAGATATCATAAACCAATTAGTTCCTCACCTAACTACAAAATCATTTTCTAATTCTAATTTTAACATAAATGTTAAGTTTTGAGAAGATGATGATGAAATAATTATGTCAACCTCCTCCCCAATCTCAGAAGAGAAACTGTTAAATGGTCCTCCATTGTAGAGTGCTGCCCTCTGATAATTACTATTTGGACAAAGTGTTCTTGATGTTCGATGATATTCGACCCTAAGAAACAGAAAACATCAAACACAATGAGAATCATTTTAACTTCCATCTACACTATAAAGTGAAGCAACTTACTTGTCATGTTTAGTGGGAACAATTAGCGGCAACTGCCATGACAGAACTCCCTTCGCTTGTCGCAGCACTACCAAAACTGGCAAGGCACGCGTAGCATCAAGACACTCAACAGTCACCCGAGCAGGTCGTGACTTATTATTGAGCCCTTGTGTTTTGAACTGGAACGATACACAAGACATGAGTGATCTGACAGGGAAGTTACCTGGAATGTCAGTGTTTTCCTCAACCAATTTGAAGGTTAAGACAAAGTGCGAAGCGCTTGGCCGAACACAACCCACCTGGAGAGACCGGAACTGAAACAGATACTCAATTGTCGAGTTCACGGAAAAGTCGGAATAGATTTTGCCCACTTCTGCATTACTAATGACCTGTGTCTTGATACCACCATTGTCAGATGATTGACAGCGAACGACGCAGCACTGGAGAGTGAAAAGGGAAATCAAACATATTCCCCACTTCGACATGTCGTAGGCGTAATGTTAAGGCTGACAGCTTCATCCAGACATGGCACGGAGACAGCCCAGCTGTGCACGCCGTGAATGAACTAGACAGAGATAACGATAACACAGGTCGAAGCAAGAATGATGTGATTCATTCGCACAAGAGGCAGACAAAAGAGCAAAGGGGAGGGAGGGGGGGGGCATATCAGCTGAGCTGGGCAATGACTGCGAATAAGCAGACAGGAAAGCCCTTCTGCAAATACGCAACGTGCGTAAGACAAGATCCCGCGCATTCCCTGCATTCCCCCATCCCATGTTGCATTCCCCATTGGTGCGATTTGAAACTATGCGAGTGTCTGTTTCCATTAGCCATGGCGTGGCGCCGTTCGAGGCACTTGACGAGAAACTCAAGTAACTCAGAGTGCTCGGCAAGCCTAAGAATTGTTTGTATGGTTGTTGTATCTCGGCAGAGGGTTGGGAAATAAACACACTGACACACTTTTAAATGGTGACTTTATTGACTAAAATTTGAGTGGTGACTCACGGTCATGCCATTGATGTTGACAATTGTTGGGCATATTATTGCATTTTCTAATGAGGGAATAAGTTCTAGGTTTAGATTTTTTTGCGGGGGTCGATGGGCAGGTCGGCCCTGGTGACTGGAGGCAGGGGGTCGTACAGCGAGTGGGCGAAGGTGGCCGCGCCGACGAGCAGCCCGAGGGCGAGGATCTTGTTGGCGGCCGCGTTGCGGCGGTTGTAGTCCTCCTGCCAGGAGCCCTTGGGCTTGGGCAGCGAGTCGTAGGTGGGCTTCTGGAAGAACTCCTCGTACACGGCGGGGTCGGACTTGCCGGACATGGAGCGCCGCGCTGGAACAGAAGGAGAGGAGGGCTCATAAATACAACATCCGCCGACAGGCCCGACAGGCATCCGCACTCGCTAGATAGGAGCAGCCCGGAGGGGGCAACAGAAAAATCCACCACGGCGTCGACAGCTATATGAAGCGCGTCCGATACGCGGCCGGCGAGCCCGAGTCTCGCAGAGGAAGACGGACCGCTGCCATTTTCACTGCCTGATTTAAGGCGCAGATTGCACGGCCCGGCGCGGCGGCGCGTCCGCGTGGTGAAGCGCCTCGCCAGCCTGGCCGCGTGTTGTTTTTGCCCCGCCCCGCCTGGAGGCCTGGAAGGCCTGCAAGTTGAAGTCGGGAGTCCCGAGGATACGCGCCTCGAGGCGCGGCTAGCGGCGGCTAGTGCACCCAGGAAGTCCGCCAGCCCGCCGAACAGAAGCCGAGCCGGCTGTCCCACGCCCCTCCAAGCCCCTCCCCTTCCATCGCAGGCATCGACACCGTGTGCAAATGCGGAGGGAGGACCGCGCCGCCGCGCAGCGCAGCTCGCACCGCGCCGGGGAGACGCACAGCTCCGCCGCCAGCGCGCCGCCCGACGAACGCCACCTAGGCCGCGCGGTGACACGTGTGCGCCGCGGGGTGCCTACCCGCGCGGCGATTCGCCCCGACGTTGGAGCGGATCGGTCTGGCCGGCCAGGCTCTCGCTGCAGAACCTTCTGCCTCTCTTGGAGGCCTTCAACGAGTGCGACAGACAAGGACGTCGCTCGCAGGCTCGGTGCCCGGCCACGCCGGCCAGAGCCCGGTCCATGACAGTGCCCGGCCAGCGTCCTGGACGCATCCTGGCCGCGTCCTGGCACAGTCGGGCTCTCTACGGACGACTAGTCAGTCAGACCTCACTTGGCCCTTCCAGTCCAGCCTGTCCAGCCTGCTCCAGCGCGCCAAAGAGAAGGGCGCACGAGAAACGAAGACGCGCATCTGCCTCTCATGCGGCGGCAAACAAAACCGTATTGTAAGAACCGCGAAAAAGTCTCATGCGCGAAAGCTCGCGGCGTGGCGGGGCGTGGCGGGGCGTGGCGGGGAAGGACGGGGCGGGGCGGGCTGGGGCGGGGCGGCGGCCTCTATAAGAGGCTTGCGGCGCGAGGGGGAGGGTCAGTCGAACAGTCGTCCGCGAAGCAGCAGCATCATGGAGCCCCGCGGCAGCCACGGCAGGCTGGTGAGTCAGCGAGTCACTCGGTGTCACCCCCACTCGAAAAACGCGCCCGCGTCGCAGCCTTCACCACCCTCAGCGCCATTTTACAAAGTTTTCAGAAAGTGACAGGTCCCGCCACATGCAACAAAGTGTACAGTCACCGTCGGGGTGTTCACTCCTCCGGATCGCGGACAGAGTAATCGCTGCGTTTACGATATCGCGCTCCTATTGTGCCCCAAAAGTCGAGTATTTGGACAGGTTGGAGGTATAATTGTTACCTCATTACTCGTTAAGCAATATGCGGGTGATAACCGATCTGAGCGTGCAGGACTATTACGCCTACTCTTCGAAAGTCACGCAGTTGTTAGTATTTTGACGTAGCATTAATAGGATGTCAAACATTGTCAGCAATGGTGGAGCTCGAACGCGATAAATTCAATGCCACGGTGTTTTGAAAGGCACGCTGTGCGTCAATTTTATTTTTCTTCCAGTCCCAAGATTTCCCCCTTGTTGCGTTCGCGTTGAGATTTCACACATGACAAGAGGCCCCGCTCAGCGCGCTTCACCCCTGCTCGGCTGTTCACTGCCTGCCAAAGTAGGCGTGTCCGAACGAAGGACGTCGGCAGTCCGCGGCCGCCCGCCGTTTTCACACGCCCCGTCGGGCCGTCGGGCGCCTGCAGTGCCCCGCACTTGCACTTCCAGGGCCATCGCCCCGCCCCCGGCAGACTGATTCCGACAGTCGTCGCTCTGTCTCTCTCGCTCTCGCGTGGCGTCCCGTACAGGTGCGAGAGAGACGGAGCGACGACTCTCGGAATCGGTCCGCTGAAGGTTCGCGAAGCCACGGCCACGGCGGCGAAAGGGTGGGCCTGGCCAAAGTGACGATGCGCCACTTGGAGATGAAAGCACGCGATGACGGGCCGGCAACGACATCACGACCAGACGGGGAAATTAGGAGGGGGGAGGGGCGTGTCACGAACGGCGCCGAATCGAGATTAGCCGCTCCCCATCGAGATAACAACGAAAGCACCCTGACCGCGCCGTCGGGGCTCGAACCCGGGCCCCTGGGCGCCCCTGGCCATACGCGGGCACGCCTCTTGGTTTTAAGTGGGTGCTAAAAGTGGCACCGGAGTCGCCGCGCCGCGATGCGCCGCGATGCGCCCGTCAGTCGGCAGGAAGAAGATTGGCGCGTGCCGAGCAGTGCCGAGCCAGCTTGTGCATAATGGATGGGAGAAACGAGAAACCGGCGAGGCGGGGCGGGGCGGGGCGTGGGTGCTGCTGCACTTCTCCACGCGCAGTGCATCGCGGTGCATCAGTCACGTAATAGGGATGCGCTTTTGTTTTTGTTCTGCAACGGACAGGCCGGACAGGCGAGCCTCACTCTCAGAGCAGCAGTCCTGGGCCACGCGGTTCTCCCTCTGCTCCAGGACTCTAGCGCCAGTCGGCACTCGGCCCGGGCGGGGCCGGGACGTCTCCGCGGTGGTCGAGCTTGTTGAGTCCCGGAACTGTTATCCGCGGGGTGGGGGCGGGGCCGCGGGGGCGGGGCCCCGGATTTCGTTAGGTTCCGGGGGCCGAACAAGGCACGGCTGGCGGGGCTCGCGGGGACGATTAGCAGGCCTCCTTTCCGGCGCCGACGGTTACTTAGTTCCGATTCCCGATTTACAACTTCCCTCCCACTCATTGCGAAACGCTCGTAAACGGATAATTGCTTCATAAATGGAGTGTGACTGGCCGACTGGCCGACTGGGGCGGGCCAACTACAAGGAAACGGACCGGCGCTCCGACAAGTCATGCAAATGTGGTTCTTGTCCGCAGTTGGCGCTCTTGGTGGTCCTGGCGGCACTCGTCGGCACGAGCATCGGGGGGTCCGGCAAGGGCGGGTAAGCTCACGTTGCGGCGCCGCGTGTCGGGACTGCCGGCTGCACTCACTTGTCCACATGATCCCCAGGCGCAAGATCATCATCCACGTGCCATACTACGTCAAGAACCACCACCACACGCACACCGTGTTCAAGTACATGAAGGGCAAGGACCACGCCGAGGGCGACACCGAGACCGTGGGCGACGGCGGGCACGGCGACGCGGACGGCGGCGGGGAGGGCGGCGCCAGCCTCGAGCAGGGCGGCCACGGCCCCGTCCACCACGGCCCCATCCACCACGGCGACGGCGGCGGCAACAGCGGCGAGCAGCACGACGACGCCTTCTTCCAGCCCAGCCACGCGGAGGACCTCGGCCACCACGACGAGGGCGCTGGCCTCGCCACGCAGGACTCGCCCCAGGCCCTCGGGCTGCACGGCGAGCCGCGCCACGTTCACGGCCACCACGGCCACGCCGGCGGCAGCGACAGTCGCGGTCACCACGGTCATGGTGGTCACGGCGGCGGCGGCGACAACCGAGCAGACATCCGCGGCCACAACCGCGGGCGCCTCTACCGGCACCGCAGCCAGCAGCAGCAGCGCGTGCGGGAGTCGGACTCGCACTTGCACCGCGAGGAGAGGACGCGCCACCACCACCACAACAACAACAACAGCAACAACAACCACCACCACCACGGACACCACGACGACGACGGCCGCGAGCACGCCCACTTCCACACCAAGTTCACCGTCGGCGAGAACGGTAACTACAGCATCGGCGCTGGTAAGCGGATCTTCGACGCTACTTGAGGTGTGACGCCCTGTTCTTTGTGTTGCAGACGGACAGGTGCACGAGACTGACAGCTCTGAGAGCTCGGAGCTGTCTGGACACGGCTTTTTGGAACCACACAGGGAGCCCATTCCTCCCATCATCCCGAGGGAGCACGATTACCACAACAAGTATGAGGTCACAGACCACGAGTCGTTTGAAAGGCGTCCAATTTCCGAAGAGAGGCACCCGGTGGAAAACTTTGATGAAGAGGAAAGGCATCATGGGAACCATCCACACTATGACGGTTACAATGCCCTTCAAACAGAACTGCGGCCAGATGAGTCACAGCATCACCCCAGTCCAGCCTTTGAAAAGGAACGTTCTCCATCTTATGACAGATATCGGAATGAAAAGTTCGATGACAAGTTTGTCCCAAGAGAGAGTAGAGGACCCAGGAAACATAAAGGGAAGAGATTTGATGAAAAGGCTAGACGACAAAAGTATGAAGTAGAAGAGCCAAATCAAGAATCATCACCCAGTCGAGAAACCTTCTCATCCCATGAAAATCCACCTGACTATGAACCCATCAGACGCAGAAAACATAACTACAATTGGAGATAAATGGAAGGCCCACAAACAATCTATCTGACATGACAAATCTCCAGCTCAAGCAACAATGTAGCTAGCCAACCAACCAATCCTGATCTCCATTCTATGTCCTAATTGGCAGAGTCTGTTTCATTGTTGTATGTTTGTTACTTGTTATTTACATTCATATGTTTGTTGTTTATTTTATATATTGTTATGTTATTAATTGTTATTCTATATATTGTTTAAAGTATATATTTCATATAAAAACTGCTTAAGCATATGAATATTATTATGTGCCCATGTTGACATTGGATGAATATGTTCCACAAAAGCACGAATTTGGCAAAGTAAAGTTGCTATAGATAAGACGTTGAGGCACATTTAAATAAAAGCGTTGAAAGTGAAACGTGCATAGGACAGCAGAACAGCAGAAAAGATTGAGGTTAGGAGATGGCCATCACTAACATTTAAGTAGCAAGGCTCACAAGTATCATCATTTGACATAAAACGATAAAACTAGATCTAGAATTCTCTGCCACTAATAAACAAGAAGAGCCCAGGAGGAACGAAAATCAGGGTTTAATGAGCGACTAGAAGTCCCAACACACTTTAGGGCAGATTACAGCTGATGACAAGTTGGATCCTGACACCCTGTTGGAAAGAACAGACAACTTACATGCTGCCCTTACGACGGGCCTGGCAATCCTCTGAAGAGCAGACATTTTAGAATGGGCTTATTTCTTCGCTGTACGATGCGACTGCGAACTTCGCAAATTTCTCAAGGAGATTTGAGACGAAAGTCTGCTGCTCCTTCAACGATCATAGCCTTGTGTGAACGAATGAAAACGGCTTCGAGCACTGATCAAAAAGTTCACAGTGTTCGCTCATTTAGGGTCAAAAATATCAAAAATGGATTAATTTTGAACATTTTGATTTTTTTTCACTCTCTTGTATGCATAAAAGAATATATTCAGAGGATTTTTCTCAACGATGACGATACGGAAGAAGCACAAAAAGAACATCCAAGTATTCTTTTTCTTGTTTGTTTGCCGTTGTGGCGATTGATTGGAGGAGCAGAAGAAATCAGAGTTCTAACCTAAATCACCAGTTTTACCGATATGGGGGGCTCTCAGAGCACGAGAAATATTAGCGTCGTTAATGAAAACGAAGACAATGTCATCAAAGTGTCCGATGGCGTCGTCCGACGACTCTTCGGAGACGAGTCTGCTGCCTCCGCCGGTGGTGCCGTAGAAAACCAGAATCAGTCTGCCCCTGCCGCAGTAGCCGCGCAACCAGCATATATCCCAGGATACAACCCCATTAGCACAGCTCAGGTGGGACAAATTGCTCTTCTCACCTTTATTTCCAGTGCCATTGATCGAAAGTGCCATGACCTTTCATGTTTTGATAAGTGACAGTCAGTGACTGGTGTTCACATGACCCCGCTCCTCTCCAGAGGTGATTAGTGTCATCCACTTGGTTGTTGTCCCCTCTCTCTTTACTTGTGGTCATCAGCCAGGGATATCAAGTTTCAAATTATTTTCGGAATATTTAGTCATGCCGTGGTCTGAGCTGTCATTAATGTTCACTTTAGTTGGGGCTGAGGTGCAACCAGTGACAGCGCCTCACATTCTGTCAAATCCAAGGACAAAAATGTTTTTTCTGTATTTTTCTTTTCTCCTGTAATTTTCTTTTGGCTTTAGGTCTGTTTATAATTACTTTTTGATTTATAGGTGCGGAGAGAAGTCCTGGCAGCCAAGGATGAATCGGACAAGTATTGGACGAAGCGAATCAGCTCCTTAGTAGAGGCCCAGGAAAGATCCAAAAAGTATTCTGAGAGTGAATATGAAAAAGCTTTGAATGAGGTTAAAACTATCTTCAAAACTCACAATACTGTACACTATGAGAGTCCCTGTAAAGATATTGAAGGTTCACTCTCCAAATGCTATAGTGAAAATTCATCTAAGTCTTTGAATTGCGCTGCTCAAGTACAGGCCTTTTCTGAATGTGTACAGCTGAAACACAATAACATGTCAAAAGCAAGGACATAGGCACCCAAGTTCACATCTCTGTAGGCTATTTTTAACAGTTTTTGGAGAAATGAAGCGTTCTAAACCATTTTTTGTTTTTTTGCAGTCAACAATTCTAAGCTGTTTATTGAATTTTTAGACCCATATATTTGATCTATCATGTTACTCTCAGAAGCAACACTATGGGCCTTTCCCTTTGATAGGGTTTGTTCTTTGTTATTGATACCCTGTAAGGGCCCTTTGGATTAATTGTAATGCCTTACTTTTTTGTGACCTACCTTCACTTGTAATTGTCAATAAAAAAAAGTTATATTTTCACTTTGGTCGATTTATTTCAAAGATAATGGTGAAAGCTTAGGGGAGGATCAACACTAAAGTTTGTAACACAAATTATGCATTTATTACGTACTACACATTTCAAATTTCAGTATCATATGTAGAAGGAAACACTATACACCTTAGTTGATCAATGCCTGAACTACACTCAAATGAGATTGGCATTGTTATCAGGTTTGCACATTGTGATTCATATCTTGAGAGAATGAAAACAAAGTAAGGAAGGGGTTGAGAGGACAACACCATCTTTGATCCCATTAATTGTTGTCTTCATAGTCAAAGATTTTTTTTTCCATTCATGCAAAGTTTTTAAAATAAGATTGGTCCTTTCAGGAAAAGCAAAATAAGGAGAGTTCATATACCAGTCTAACACATTGGCTTCAGCAGGTCATCATAGTACATCTATCTACTTCTGAACAAAATGCTTCAAGTGAAAACCAACGAAAGAAATAATCTGCAATGGCTGTGAAGCATAAGTGTTTGCCATTCAACTAGTCAGAAGCTAATGATAACGAATATACCCCATGAGAAGAAAAATCAAGTATCACACTTGTCAAAGTACATATTAAAATTAAGAAACAGAGGAACCCCAAGCAACTCATGAGGGAGAGAAGAGGCAAGGACTTAAATTGCAGTTATATAGGTGCATCAGAGTTTTGCAGTCTTGACTGTAAACATAAACAAGTGATATGAATATTTGGCCTCCTAAATATCATTCACAATTGGAGGCAGATTAAATTTGTGATTATAACATATGCCTTTAAACAATAAAGATAAGAAATTTAAAAAGGGTCCTAGAAAATGATAAAATTTCAATATGAGGTTGCTCTGTTACAGGCAGGATTCTGCTGACAAACAGTCCTTTAAATAAAAAAGACGAAATGGGTGAATAAGTGACAAGCAATCCCATAAAGCTAAACAAACACGAAATAATTTTCACTTATGTAAAGTCAAACCAGGAAAGAATAATCTTATCAGAAAGAAATAAAGCTTTGAATTTTTTGATTTTAAAGAAGCAGATGATATTGACAGGAACCCATGATACAAATTATCATCAGTAAGAAATGAAGCAGCGCTGAAGAAATAAGCAAACAAATGAAGCTCTGTAAAGACATCATTGCTATAATGACCATGATTACTTAAATCTAACCATACTGATAAATATTAACCCAGGAACATGGAATATTATTTTATCAACAGGCACATGTGCTAAATTAGCAAGTTAACACCTGAAAAAATAAAGCTAACTCAATGAGAAAGTTTAGGACTCAATAACAGTTCCTTACATCCACGAGCTCCTAGGTAGACCTGTGTTTCTTTGCGTACAGCATTGGCAACAATACCTGTGAGCCACATTCATTCAATATGGAGATTTTCCAAGGGTTTTAAAACAAAGTCCATCTTATTTGAAGATGCGCACTCATCCATTCAACCAATCTTTTATGTCTATCAGTAAACAAATACACAGGAATAAACTGTAAAAATCAGGAGGACATGTCAAATATGTTACCAATGGCTTCCTTCTTCAACAAAACTTTCGAAATTGGAACATTTTTTTATGATAGTCACTGGGTATCCAAATAGCGAACACAGCGAAAAGCATGTCCACAACATAAAACATTACCAGATTATCTTAGGTTCATTTGCTCAAGTGGATGCGAGGGTCCACTTTAAGTTTCCCACAGTTAACAGTCAATTAAAATTGTAATAGGAAAATAGGAATTATTACATAATAATTTCACTCACAACAGAGCAGAAGTTTTACCTTAGCATAAAAATTTGAAGAGTAACAGTACTCAGAAGATTCATTTGTGCTCAACACAAACCATTTTCAATATAACCCCTTTCTCTAAGAGCATAAAGCTAAATTAATAGATGGAGGAAAACTGCTCCAATGTCATAGATATATGCATGACACTCAAGTGTTACTTTATTAAAAAATAAACAAACCCCCTGGCATACCTATGATTTTCTAATTTCAATGCAGTACGGTTTAAAATGACCTCTAATTAATTATGTACAACGGTCAACCACACTCCAACTGTGTTAACTTTATAAATTGAGGATATCAGGAGGTTTCACATTAATCTTTTCATATGATTAACTAGAGGATGAAGGAGAGTAAACTATCACAATTCTCACTGTACACATCCAGACAAACCATACTTTCAAGCCAACAGACAACAAAACACAATTCTATTCAAAAGAACATATCCTGCCATGAACATAATTCAATGCAACAACACAATACACCGAGCATAATCCACCGAACATAATCCACCAAGCACATGTTCGACACTACTTCAAGGAGGATGAAAAGGTGAAAACAAGAGGGGCAGGTCTGCTTTATAATCTCATGCCACAGAAACAGTATTAAAGGAAGAAAGTGTTGAAAGATCCAGGTACTTAAAGTTCATGAAATGGTTTGAAGTTTGTGCTCAGTATTTATAATTGAAAGATCAGAATCATTCTTAGGGACTTGATAAAAATATAGCCACTGTAGAAGTTTTAAAAGAAAAAGAAACATAATCAGAAGTACTTAACTCCCTTAACAGGGGTTCAATTTTTGAAGGCACTGAAGATATGCTTCCCTTTACACACAAAAAATCTGGTAACAGGCCTCCATGCATTCATAACCAAACTAAGTCCAAATAAATATACACAAAAAGAGAAGTTTTTCGGTGGCCAAATGAACAGCTGTAAGAATGACTATAAGCACAAGGATATTGTGCTACATACATCACAGACAGCGCTTACATTATGCTGAATAAACCATTGGTAAGTACCAAGGACTGCAAGCTACAGACTAGACACTAATTTTCTGATTTAAAAAAGAAAGTAAAAACTACCCCACAAAATTTTAAATTGATTCACATCTGGCTTATTCTTTTGGAATTTTACAATGTTAAAGTAATCAATAAAAAGAGGGTTCGATACTCAGAAATGCAACATCACATGCTTCAAAATTGAATGACTAAACACTACTTCCATTTCACACAAGACATCTTAACACTGACAAAATGGGGAGGACACTTAAGGACTCAATCGATAAGGGACTTCCCTTGAAATAATACTAGGTACCCGTCTCATTCTGGTAGCTGAGGCAGCAAGTTAAAATTCAAAATGTTAAAGGATTCTAAATTTGAATATTTTTTTTTTAAACGTATTATCATTTTCATATATTTTGAGTACTAAAAACAAATACCTGAGTGCAGAAATCTGCACAAAGAAACACCTGATACCAAGGCTTGAAAAAAGCCTTTAACATGACTTACATCACTGCTTCACAGTTTTCTTAATACCACTGAAACTCATCAGCCTTTACTCCTCTAATAGATATTCTTTGTTCTTTCATGTATTAAAAATATAATGTATTCCATTCAAAGCTGCAATTGATCAAGAAAATGATCAAAATAACACAGATGCGCAAAACTCAAAACAGGCAATTACAGGGTTACACTCACATTAGATCCACAAATGAATACCACCTACGAAAATAAACACAGCTGTATGATCAACACACATAACTATTCTCACAAACATAATTCTTTCGTGCCAACATTAAAATATACATTTTATTTTCCTAAAATAAGTTGGTAGTTAAATGGAAACAAATACCCATTTAATTAAACCATAACATTTAAGGTAACTTTCACTGAAAACAGGAATTCATTGCTGAACTACAGTAATGTATTTCTCTCTTATCTCTAACAAGAACTTCATCTTAGCATATATTTGTACCATCAGAACATACACAGAGAAAAGAGCTACTCTATAGCCATATTTTCCAGCAATAAAATACTGCATAAGAATTTGTGAAAGGGCAGTCATTCCACAATAGATTGTATCTCATCTTTCTCAAAAAGAAAAAAAAAGAAACAAAAGAAAGAAAGAAAACCAACACAGGTATTGGCAAATAATCTCCATCCCCTACCAGAAGGAAAATGTAAAAGAAAAGAGGTACAAGTTGATAAATATGTATGTAACGAGATTATTTTGTGCAACTGGATAATGTTAAAACATTAAGTCCTCGTGGTCAAAGACTATGAGTAAAACAGACAATTTTCGTTTTAGCGTTTACCTTCAGTTCAGGAATTTTGTTGTTTTACTTTTTTTACAGGTTGCAAAGCAAACACCATATCTGAAAAATACACACACACACACACTGAAAGATTACTAATATTGTTATTTCAATACAAAGATTCAAGGAAATGGTTGCACCTTGTGTATACCATACCTAGGTAGCACAAATTGACGGCTGTCAATTTCAATTTTCTCAATGGGAGTCATCCAAGGTAGAACATACTGGAGGTGACTTTTGAGTCTCATGGCTCCTTTGGACAGTAATCAAAGGTCTATCCAGAGTTGTGCTGGATGTATGGTCATCCAGATTTGTGCTGGATGAATGGTCAGAGTCAACAACAGTCGAGGAAGTCATGCTTGCAGAAGACACAGACACAGCATCAGACAATGCTGCAAAAGATGTGAGTCCAATGAATAAAGATGGAGAGACAAAAATGAGCCCACAAAAGGCCTGGAGTTTTTTAATTTGTTGGAGCATACACTGTAATTTGTTTTGTATTACTCTCACCTGCATCATCACCACTTCCGCCAACACCACCACCACCACAGGCCTCCGCTTGATGGATATTAAGATTTTCATCTTTTTGTACCACAACAGTCTCCTCTACTGGTGGCACAGATTTGTCAACGTCTTGAAGACTACACTGCCCATTATTGTTCATAACATCTCTTCCTCCTTTAACTGAATCAGCATCACCACTATGACTAACAGCTAATGGCCGCAAGCTACTGCTCCCGCTTCCAATAGGCCTTCTATCATTTGAGACACACTCTAGAGGGGCTGGATGAGCTCTACCTGTGTTTTTCAGAACATTCCCCAACCCATTTTCAGCAGGCTGGGCCGCACGTTGTTGCTGAGGTGACGATTGAGGTGATCTTCTTGGCATTGGTTGTTGTGCTGGAGTCGGCTGAGGTGATGGATTTTTGTTGAACAAGATACCAGGATTCTGAAATAGACCTAGTAGTCGTTCCAAGCTGGAAGGAGCTTTATTTTCATCATTGGAACTTGAAGTCACTGAAGCTAGAGTCATAGGCACCCATGATATTTTCCGTGATCTTGTTTGTTGTTGTGGCTGAGCAGAGGACTGTGGCTGGCCAGGGGCTTGGGAACAATTCTGTTGTAGGCGCTGAGGGCTTTGTTGCAATGATACATGAGCTTGAGGACTTGAATCGCTCTCAACTTGCAACCCCTCTAAAGCAGTGGCATTTGCATGAGCCATTATATTTCGAACTTCACTGTCAGTATCAGGAGTTACAGTCTCTCTGTCACTAGATGGACTGTCCTGTTGGTTACAGGCAAACCCAAAGGTCACTGAGTTCGATGCCACAATGGGGGATGGAGGTTCAACAACAGTCACTTTAAACCTTGATGAAGGGAAGAAGCAGGTCGGTGATGAGGATGGGGAGGCACTGGGTGAGGGCGAGAGTGAGTCAGATTCTGAAACTTGGGAAACCCTAAATCGATTCCGAGCTGGCCCTGGACTGGGAGCAGGTGAAGGCATAGGACTGGACACAGGAGATGGAACAGGCGATGGAGCAGGTGATCGAAGACGCGTTCGATTGCGCTGGGGCTCCGCAAGCAAACCACCGCTAATGTTACAATTATCTTGAGCAACAGATCTCAGGAGCGTTTGGCATGTGAGGGAAATTTTGCGGCTATTCACAGATGTGAGACGAACACGTCGCTCGGATTTCTCAGAATCTGATACTTCACTGACTTCTTCTTCTTCTTCTTCAACTTCAGGTTTGGGGATTTGTTCATTACGGGAGCAGTAACCTCGAATTTCACTCACCAATTTCTGATAATCATTCAAAGTAACATCCTGAAAGTTAAGAGGTCAGCTCAAGTGATTAATCAGTCCAATCTCTCACAAACTAAATAAAAATACTAAGTTCTGACTTACAGGAGGTCGCCTCTTTGGAGCATCGTCAAGGTCCAACTGAGTTACAGTTTGGTTCGATTTCATGGAAAGGGCTAGAGCTAGGAGCCCAGCCATTAAAATTGTGTTGTCTCGCAAATCTATTCTCTTTAACATAAAAAGAGTTAAACTGTAGAGTTTGCTTTGTGAAGTACACTTCATTATTATTTTAAGATCAGTATTACCTGAATAACTTTATTATCCTCAATAACTTCGGCCAAAGCAATTGCACCCTCACATGATAAGTGTGTAGACTGCATGCCTAATCTCAGCAGAGTTTTATTTTGTTGCAAGGAATCTTTCATGGAATGCACTACGTCACTGGTTAAAACATTATGCCCAATGTTGAGCATCTCCAAAGACCTACAATTGGACTGAAAAAATAAATAAGAAAAACGTTGTTATTATTATTATCTGTACAAGCAGACATGAAAACTGAAAGGTTAACAGATAAGATAAGATATGGACATTGAAACAAATATTAAAATGTCTATGCTTACAAGTGCTCTGGCAAAGTGTGGTGCGGAACTGCGGGTGAGCCTGTTGTTCCACAGAACCAAAATGCTTAACCCACCCCCTGACGATGGCTGCTCAATGAGTCCGTCTACAACATGACTAGCTCCATCATCTTGTATATTATTATTGCTGCAAGGTTAATACACATTGTACGGTAACAAAAAGAGATGGAATGAACTAAAACCCTGTTGTTGTTGTTTTTTTCTCATAACAGTTATTACCTGATATCTAACAGCTGGAGGCAGGTGTTCGACCTCAATAACGCAGCTAGTTGAAGGGCATCCGTGACTCCCAAGTCATTATCAGCTATGTACAATTCTCGGAGACCAGTGTTGAGCTTCAAGGCACCAACTGAAGGATCAATGCACAAAATTAAAATATATTTATGACAGGGTTTAGGGAGCAAACACTTAACAGTCAGTGCTCAAAACTTATACCTAAAATAATTATAGGACGACCACTCAATTTACAATTTTCAAGTTTAAGCACTTGAAGATGTGTAGTTATTCTTAGAGAACGGCTTATTATGGGCATTATCTGCTCGTTTAGAGTCATATTGCTGGCCTCAAGATGTTCAAGGCATTGAGTCTGAAAGGAAAACAGCAATTTAAAATGCATTTTCACTAAATGATGCCAAGCCAATCCACAAAAATACGTACCTTCTTTATCATGCGTGAACATGCTTGCCAGCCACGAGCAGAAATATTTTGATTCCCTGATATATTCAAATTGTTTGCTGACTCATAGTACTCAATCATGTCAAATATTGCCACAGCTCCCTAGATTATGAAAATTGGAAGGGTAAAATTAAGAAAATAACATGAGGCAATGTCTGATGGGGCACAGATTGAATTAAGCAAACATATCATCCAAACCTCATCATCAAGAGATGTGTCCTCAAGGCTAAGAGAAATAAACTGAATCCTTCTTAAAATTTCTTCCAGACTTTCCCCACGAGCTGAGTCCAGAAGTTCACCCTTTAAATCCAGTAAGCTACACCGATCCCCATTAAACTCAAGGGCCTGAAAAAAAAATCATAATACAATATCTAAGAATACATAAAATAATGTGCATAAGGGCAAGACTTAGGTCTGCAGTATGCAACAGATGATGGAGTCTTAACATAAACTGATTACAGAACACATTGCAGTATGGTAAAAAATACGCACTTCAAGCTGCTTGAGAACAGAGCCCGATGGTGGATGCCCATGTTTAACACAGGATGAGGAATACGATGTAATGATCTGACTTCTGTCAAAATTGTCAGCTGAAATGAAAAGTCAAATCATTAAGAACTATTTTAAGAGGATTAGTCTCGCAGGTAAATGCAACAGAGTGTTAAAAAGGTCAAAGGTGCTATCAATTTATTTAAGATAAATAATGTTGAGAAAATGTAATTGGTGCATGCTGATGTGAGTGACACATCTAGAATGTGTGAAGCGGAGTGTAACAGATAGGCTCAAGAGTGGTTATGTTTCAATTTCAGAAAATACGTCATGAGAGTGGAATAGGTTTAAGGGTGAAAGATTGATTTAAAGATGAGGATGAAGCTCACCATACTCCCAAGGGTTGGGAGCCTCCATGTAGCCTGTGACCAATCTGCTATCATCTTCTGGGAATGACACCTGCTTGCTTAGGGTGTTACGCCTTTCAGCCTGAGGCCTGCTCCTGTAGAGGCACCCCTTTGTGAGACTTGGCGTCTCTTCTGTCACGGAACTCATTGTTCCTTAAGGTCGCATATCCAGTCAGTGTTTGAAAGAGTGTCAGAGAGCCCTCGAGCCCCCACAGCTTCACAACCAGAAGCTACATTATACCCCCTTTAGGGAGGAACGATCTTGAGACATACATTCTTCGGTAGGTTTACCGCCTCAGCGGGATGACGGCGCACAGGAAGCAGATTTTCTGGACCACAGATTTTAATTTGACAATATTTCACCCACATTCAACCCACCGCAAAGGGTTTTAACCACACTTCAAAGCACAAAATCCGCGAAATTCCGCGCTGACTAGAGTGGAGGAAGTGGAGGCTGAAAGCAAAGCTGTCTGCTAGAGACAAGTGGAACCATAACAGCTGTTAACGCAAGGCGGTGGATGAGGGTGGGGGTTGTTGTGTAGTTTCCTGTCGAGTCGACAAGCCAAACGCCGAAACTATGTGGTTTTTAATATTTCTGCTGGCTATCGCCTCATGTCACGCTTCACCCGCATCTCTGGAAGTTGTCAATGATGATGAACTGGTCAACCTATTCCGCTCAGAGAAATATGTCGTCGTTTTGTTCAGTAAGTTCTTGGTATAGGTTAGGCCATACAGACAGATTCTACTTTCACTGCCGGTTTTCTACCATTTTATGTTTCAAAAGACGGATTTATTGCGAATGGCATCGTTTATTGAATTTTAAACATTTTGGGTGATTTTGGATGGTTGACAGCTCTCTATTTGCTGTACACCGTGCTCGTAACTTGCACATATTGGGAAGGGCTGCTGGTGTACAACTTAATTTTTTCCGCTCCAATGAAACAAATTTTATTTTTACCTTGTGTTTAGCCAAAAAGGACTGTGAACCATGCGAGGTGCTTGAAAAGGAGCTGACCGCTCTCCGAGAAGATCTAGTCGATGCTCTGAATGCTTGGGTTGTGAAGGCTGTCTCAAGCAGTATGGTCAAACTGTACAGTCCAACGAAGGAGCCAGCGTTAGTCTTCTTTAGGCATGGAGTTCCATTGCTTTATGATGGTAAGCATCTCAGTATTGTTTGTTACCCCTCCCGTTTACGTCCAATAATATGGCTGCCATGGTTTTTGTCCACTGTAGGCCCAGTAAATGACGAGCTGATCTTGCATACATTCTCTGACAACAGAGAACCAGTTGTTAAGGAACTCAATGATGATACTTTTGAACACCTTACTCAGGCTGCAACTGGTGCCACCACTGGTGATTGGCTTGTCATGTTGTATGTTTCCATTGATTCCATTTATCTGTTCTATTGTTCCCCTCAACTCTTGCCTCTCATTGACTTTGTAATCTTACAGCTACACTGACAACTGTGTGGACTGTCAGCGTCTTCAGGCAAGGTGGGAAGCTGTTGGTGCTAAACTGAAAACCCGCATGAATGTCGCTCGCGTTAACAAGGGCACTACTGGCGCAGTCACTGGTCGTCGTTTTGGTGTCCAAGAAGTTCCTACTTTTATTTTGTAAGTCAATTCATATTCTCTTTCATAAAATTAATCAGATGTGTGTTTTAAAGTTCTATGCTTTGAATTTTTAATATATTTCAGATTCCGGCAAGGTAGAATGTATCGATACCAGCTTCAAAAATATGATGTTGCATCTTTTACTAATTTTGCAACAGACTGGTACAAAAATGCAAAGGCTGAAAAAATTCCCACTCCAAAGTCACCTTTGTAAGTTGAGTGCTTTTTGTATTTGGTAAAGATAGTTTTAATTATCCTTGCTGAAATACTGATGGTTTAATTTTAATTGTTTCAGTGATGACTTCACACAAATGCTTGCTGATTATCTGAGGGAAAATACATGGATATTCTGGCTTGGTCTGAGTAGCTTTTGTATCGGTTTAATTTTCTCTCTTCTCCAAAGACGTAAACAGGGTGCAGTTAGTAAGCCTAAATCTTCTGAGAGCAAGGCCTCTAATGAAAGCAAGACCTCCAAGGATTCTAGTAAAAAGAGCAAGTGATTTGACTCTTTGTTTTCAAGTGGACTCAAGGATTTTCTTTCAATTGGTTGTGTTTTGTGACTATTTTTTACTTCTTTTTTTCCATATGCTCTCAAAAGAGGGGTCACACATGTCTTAACAAATATTTTGTGTCATATCCTGTGAGGAATTTGGTAGTTCATGTGTAGTCAAATCATTATCACCAAAACCCTCCATGAATGTTGAAACAACAGTCTATTTCACATTGGGGTCTGTTTTCAAAATGCTTTACAGTACATTCCACAGCTAATTAAATGAACTTAATACTTCCGAGGACCAAGACATCCTCTACTTTTAAGACTGACTTTTCATGAAAGAAACCAGCCTAATTTTGTGTAAGCACATGTATTTTGAGGCATTTTGTCTTTGTTCTATCTACTATCCTGATGTTGATCATCATGTAAATGCCATGGTATTCTGTTTTGTGTTAAATTTTCCTATTTTGGGTTATGTGAATGTCTTAGTTGTTTCTGTCCTGGGATTTTTTAAAAATCCTGTGTAGCACTTACTGCTTTCCACCTAGTAATAATATTAATGTTGCAATTAGGAGCTAAGGCTTTTCACCTTTAATAAGCACTAATGGGGAAGAATTTTCACTTTTTTGGCAAATTCATTTTTATTTGTGCTGTAATAAATGTACATAACATTGTTGACCTTGGTGTAAACATAATTTGTGCAACTTCCTCTTAACCTTGCCAATCATGAAATCAGTTTTCTGGGCTCAGGTTGAAGTGTTTATAAATATACTGTGCCATTTGGACCCAATTTGGAGCACATTGTCACAGTATGCTGCATATGGTTTTTCTTAAAACATACTTTTGAAAGAAGAATGTAATTAATTGGTAAAGAGATTATGGTCCCTGAGAAAATTTGACATGAGTCAGATTTTATCTATTAATAAAGAAATAAAATATACCTAAAACACTTTAAAATAAAATAAATAATTAATGGGTAACATACCTTAAATGTCTTAGCAACAATTTGGATTTAAATTGTATCAACAAGCATATTAATTCTGAACACAGTGTGGGGATTAGCAAGAATGGTTCTAATGGAGGTCTCAAAATCATCTCTTATTCTAGCAAAATCCATTATGTCTTTTGGTTTGGAATCAAACCAAAACCTATCAAACTCACAGAACAAGTAACAATATAACTGATGGAAATGCCTCATGACAGGGCTGCCTTTGGCAAAATTAAATATGTGAGATTTGGCTGCTCCGTCTTGCAGTAGATGGTAAGCTAGACTAGTCAGATTAATTCCCACGATCGCGAATGCATATCCATTGACAGGGTGAAGAGAGTGTAGTAAAACATGTTGTGATGCTTTTTGGTAATGGTCAGAAAAGTAGTATAAGTTGTGTAAGCCTAGCATACCCATTCCTCGAAAGTCAGTTTTAGGATCATCACCTGCAAACAAATTATGAGTGCTTTAATGGAGAGTTCTAAGAAAAGAGCACTTACTTTGCAAAGTCAAAACCCACAACTTACCCTGGAATCCTATATCTTGCCATTGTTTAGTCACTCGAGCCTCTAAACGAGTGTCTGGATTAAGTCGTTGCCATAACCCAAGCAACATCTCCTCATGTTGGGGGTTGGAGGAATCATAAGCAGTTCGCCTCAGTTCTTCAACTTCTACATTGAGCTGTTTATAGCCCCATATCTGTTCCACTGTGCGTCCAAATGACTTGATAAACTGGTTATGGATAGTAGGATGAATCTTCTTAACTCGTAACACAGTCACAACTGCAAATTCAATATTAGTCTTTGTATGCTTTCCTATAAACTCCAGGTTCTCACTTCTTTCATTCAAATATCTGATGACTTCTTGAATCTGCGGCGTTTTTGAGTGTGTCAGGGAAAATTCTACCCCAAGAGTTCTGGAAGCGCCGCTAGGTTCACCATAGCACACTCTTTGTAGTTCACATAACTTCGTTGTCTTTCTGAGAAACCACTTAATCAGAGGTCGGAGGAACCAATAAGCGTATAGATATAAAGAACCCAGATACATATCCAGACAAATATAACTTCTCAGCAAATGAGCAAATTGACGTTCCGGCAGCACCAGACGACACACACTGACGACACACAACAAAGCTCGCTCGACGACACATTGCAATTCCACTTGCACATGACACGAGGAAGTTTCAAAGGATGAGAAATTTCATTGATATGCAATACCCTAAAGTCTTATAGTCCGTCCTACTCTATGCACCTGTCAACAAAATTAAAATGACTGTTTTTAAGGGTAAACATTCAGTTCAAGCTTTATGGCTTTGAGTTATTTTGACTGTCTTTCACGAGAACATCTGAAGATATTATTGAATATGTTATGTCGTCCTATCGCCACCTTCGTCGCGGTCGGCTTCTCCCAGTCCTTGGTTATGTTGCATTGACAGTCTTCTTCCTGTGGGCAGGTGCCACTGTAATCCTCAAATCACTGATTGATTCAGGTAATTGGTTTTGATTGCTGATATCGTGCTGCCTTTTCGAGGGCAGTTTTTCGTTTTAGTGTGGAATTTTTCTGACGAATTAGCTCTAATTACTACTTATTTGTCGCTTTTGCAGATTATGGGCCCACCATGAAGTCTCAAGTGAGTTTGAAACCAAACGTACTAATTATTGAGTCTGGGTATTGCCTAATTGCTGCCATCCTTTTTTCCCAACAGAGTATGCCTAGTGCTGGGCACAATATGCTCCAAAAGACACTCACCGCTGTCTCTGCCTCAAACACTCACTACTTTACAGAGGCTCTTAGCCACATTCTCGTACCCAGGGTTGTTGGAACTACATCTCACACAAAAGTTAAAGAGGTAATTTTTTTTTCCAAGTAGTAAGTTTTACTTCACTTTTTTCTACAAATCCATCTGAATTTATGACCTGGTTTTATTCTTTTCAGTACATAAAAAATCAGTTAAGGTCATTTGGTTGGTCAGTCACAACTGATACCTTCCCCGACAACACTCCAAATTTTGGCGAACTTATTTTTGAGAATATTATTGCCAAGTTGAATCCTTCATCCAAACATTATATAGTTTTAGCATGTCACTATGACTCAAAGTATTTTCCAAATATGGAATTCCTTGGAGCCTCTGATTCAGCTGTCCCTTGTGCTATGTTGCTTAGTCTAGCCCAGAGTCTTCAGGAAGAATTGCAACCTCTAAAAGATGCTGTAAGTTTTCCTTTGTATTATTGACTCTTTGGTGCTATATCATACTGATATTTATTTTTTTTTTATGAACAGGAACTGAGCTTGGAGTTATGGTTTTTTGATGGTGAAGAGGCTTTTGTGGATTGGGGTCCCCATGATTCTCTCTATGGTGCACGACACTTGGCCAAGAAAATGGAAGAGGAAAACTCCCTTTCAAAAATAGTTAGTCATCAATGTGAACATTCATCTAATATGTTTTTCAATCTTAATATTTTTACAATTTTTTAAAATTCTAAGTGCAATTTATTTGTTCCAGAAATGCCTGATTCTGCTTGACTTGTTGGGTCCTTCAAAGCCTGTCATGTACAATTATTATGAGAATGAACTGTTTAAGCATTTTGTGGCCTCTGAGAAGGCTCTCAGAACTGGAGGCCACCTTAGAGACAGTTATTCCCCAGATAATATGTTCTTTAGAAACCGTAAAGTTGGACATTATGTAGATGATGATCATACTCCATTCTTACATCGCAGTAAGATTTTTCTTTCATATTCTTATGCCTTTTATTCCCTTACATTTAATGAGCTCTAGAAAGTCTTAATACAATGTCTTTATGTTTGTACCCTCTAGAAGTACCAATTATTCATTGGATACCCGAACGATTTCCAGAAGTCTGGCACACATATCGAGATAATTATGATGCTATAGATATGCATACCGTTGAAGATATGAACAAAATATTGCGCTTGTTTGTTCTAAAATACTTCAACTTATGATCCAGGTGAGTGCTGATTGAGAATCAATGTACCATCTCTTGTTCCAGTTTTTAAATGAAAGTTTTATTTCATATTTTTTTCCCCAAAAAAAAACTCTTTTTGTTTTATAAAAGTACTTAATGAATCCACTGTACCGGTACTTAGCTAGTGCTATCATTTTAAATTCATTGTATCATATCATTTGTTCCTATGATCATATTAGCATCAATGAAAGACTGGAAAAAATAACTTTGCATGCTGTGATTTCCGCCTAAATTATTTAGTTGACTGCTGTCAGTCATTTCCTCTTATTATTGTACATTGTTACATCACACAGTATTAATTTGTTTCCAAAAATATAATTCTATACCACATGTTACACTGTTTGCCCACTTATTTCCTACAACCTCGTTTCGAGCGCATCAGCAGTGCTCCAAGGCACTCCGTGTTGCCACCCACGACTAAAGTTCTCGTCCCCCGATGCATCGGTATCGGTGTCGAAGAAAGAAATACATGTTTGGTCGCGGCTTGGTGCAGGAGGGGTTGCCTACCCGGACTCCGGCCAGGCGTTCGGTGCGCCCTCTCCTCTCTCGCTCGCTGACGTCGCGTCCGCGTCACCGCGTCGTCTCCCCGACTGCTTCTCCCATCCACGGTCGTTTCCCCCGACTGCGCTAATGCGCGCCGCTTGTTTTGCTTTCCTTTTACAATTGGCTTGGAACCGGTTGGTCGGTTCGCCTTCCTGGTTCCCGATGGATGACGACGTGTCGCTCCGCGTCTCACAGCTCGGCTGTCTTCCCCTGTATCTGCCTATGTGGATCGCTACCCTGAGTTGCGTGCCGCCGCGGAGACAAGTGGCTCGTCTTCGTGGCGCCGCGTGTCGCGCTGCGACGGCACGGCCGATCTGCGCAATCTGCTGCATCTCAACCCCGCACTGGCCAAAATACCACACAAAAGCCGAACACAAGCGAGTTGAGCTCGCCCCTCCACACACGCGGCACGGCGCACGTAGGCGCACGTGCACGCACGCCTTGCCCTTCCCTCGCGCCCCGCGGCCCACCGGTCCACCAGAAAGCCCGCGGGAAGGGAAATGGGAATCCCGATCCCGTCGGCCAGCGCGCTGCAGCGTGCGCGTTGCCGCTTTGCCCGTTCGAAACGCGGTGATGACGCTCGCCCCTGTTTGTCTGCTCGCCAATGAATGAGGCCCAGCCTAAGCAACTCCTGAGGGTGTTGTTGTCCGCCGGCTGCGTCTCACACCTGTCCTGGGCATGCACAGCTGGGGACTGGGACCGGCGGGGACCGGGGTCGCTCGCGGTTCGGCGAATCGGCCGGTCGCGCCAAGGGCAGCGGACACTTGTGGTTGCTTTGGCCGTGCCGTGCCGTGACGGCCGTGCCGCGCCATGCCGTGTGGTCGCGTGTGCGCTTTCCCTGGCCACTAGCTCCGCGAAATGCCGAGCGACCGCGCCAGGCTGCCCAGAGCGGCGTGATTTTAGCATTTTCTCGTCGCACTGGTCTGATGTGAGGTGGAAAGTGGAGGCGTCAACACTGCCGAGGCGAGGCCCAACACGCTCTCCATTCCACTCACCCCAGCTCCATGGGCGGGAGCTGGCATGGGCATGGCGCCTTTGTGCAGCCCGTAATGTGGTTCCGTCCGCCGTCCGCCCACACATCGAGTGCGCTCCACTGGCTCCACAGAGCAGAGCCCCTTAGCGTGGCAGGGTAGGCCACCCGTGCGCTAGCGGGCAGCGGAGCGTTGGCGTTGCCTACCCCGCCGGGGGCTCTAGCCTCGGGCCCTCGGGCTGGCTAGGCTTCACGACTGTGGCCAGTTCCGCCGCTGTCCGATGCCAGCAGACTGTTTCTGTGAAGCGTTTCGTCGCCCTTTCTCTCTTGCGCCTGCACGGGAGAGTCCGTGAGTGCGAGAGAGGCAGAGCGACGAACGGAATCAGTCGGCAGCCGTGCCGGACCGGGTGCCATGTGCTATACAACAGTTGGCTAGATAACCGGCGGCCACTCCGGACGCTAGTCCACCACCCAACCAGCAACGGTCCAACGGTGCGCCTGCGGCCTGGGGGCCTCGTGGCTTCGGGTTCCAATCCCAGCCCACGTGAATGTTTCAGCAGCCTGTTCCAGGTCCTTTCCGCCTCCACTGCCCTGCCCTACCCGTCGGCGGGCCTTCGCCAGTGCGTGTTGTTGGCCGGGCGGTTGGCAGGGCGCACAGGCAGGGTAGCAGCCCCCCGAGAGTGGCTCGCCGGAGGGGCGTGGGTACGGCCGTGCGGTGGGGGCATGCCCAGGCACGCCGGCCAGGCCCCGGGGTGCAATGGGATTTGCGGCACACTACACGGTGCGGGGCGTTTACACAAGCCGATTGCCCTGCTGCTTCAACCCCGTTCAACCCCCACCCACCCCCGCACTGCATGCTGGGAGCAGCGGGCAGCCAATGTCTCCATTGCGGGGGCGGCCGGGCCTGCCGGGCCGCACGCCTTTTAGGGGCAGGGGGGGGGGGGGGAAATCGGGGGTGGCTGCGCTGCGTACTGGCGCCCCCTCGCGGCCAAGGGTGGCGCTGCACACACTGGCGGGCTCGGAGCACTCGGCCGTGGGGCTGGGGCGCTGGGGGTAGCTGGGTGCTTGAGGGGGCGGCGGCGCGGCGGGGGCGGGGATGACTTATGCGTGGACCGGAGGGCTGGCGGGGGCAGCAGCGTGGGCGGCGGTACTCACGCCTAGCTCCGGCCGGGCTGGCACTGCTGGCACCCGCCTTGCAAGTCGCCGTGATCCACTGCATGTCGGCGGCGGATTTACGGTGTACGGAGCGACAGGCCGGCGCCCTCCGAGGGGCTCAGCCAGCAGCCGCCCTCTTTGTGCCGAAATAAACTCGCGAGCCTCCCTGGGGTCGCCTCAGGTACAGCTGGAACTCGTGCGAGGCTTGCCTGGGCTTGCCTGGGCTTGCCCCGCTCAGCAGCGCCCCGCCGGAGACTCAATGAAACTCGAAACAATGTACTATTTTAGGCCCTGATCCCAGACTGAGCCCCTTCTAGACCGGCCGACGCTGTCGGCCCGATGGGCTGAGTCGGCAACACTTGCACCTTGCAATGCGCCCGGCTTGTCACTTGACGCCCCACCCCCAACTAGAGGGCCTAATTCGAGGCTCTCTACCCCGACCACCCCGTGCCCCTCGCTGCGCGCCGCACGGCCTCGCCGAGGCCTCGCTGGCGGTGACGTCATCGTCATATCAGAAGGACGTCCGCCGCGTCGCGCCGAGAGGACGACGCCACGAACTGCGGGGGCGGCCGGGGGCGGCCGGATAGAGTGACGTCACAGGGGCCCTGCTGGCTGGCGGTGCCGGTGGACTCTCTTCTCCTGGCGTGTTGGATTGTCCCAGACTCCGGATTACACGCTCCGGCACCGGAGGCACAGTGCCTCGCTATTGGATTGGGACTTCCCCCGCGTCCTCCGTGCGGACCCACCCCGCCACGGCCCGGCCGGGCCTAAGGTCATATGGAAGATAGGTCTGCGCAACCGAGATGCATGCTGGGAGACCGGGCAGCTAATCCCTCCCGAATCCGTCGCCGGCTGCAGCGGAGGACCGCCTACCTGCCTGCCAGCCTGCCTGCCGGCTTGCCCGGTCTCCCAGCATGCATCTCGGTTGCGCAGACCTATCTTCCATATGACCTTAGCCGGGCCCCGCGGCTTTGCACCCGGTCCGCGCGGTTCAGCCTGCCTAGGCTAGCCCTAGGCTAGCCCAGCCCGTCTCGGGTTCGTAAAAACGTTTCCTGGTTTTCCTAGGAACTCCCTGGAAATCGCCTACGCCTTCACCATTGGCGTCCTGGGAAAAGCAGGTTCCGTTTTTTACCGTGATAGCATCCCGTTGATCCGCACCGTCTGTACCGTCCCAGCCGTATCGACGCCTCGCTGCTTTGAGCCCAGTCCTGTACTTATGAGACCCTTGCCCTTTCTTGCGAGATAAAGCTAACTTTTTAGACCCTCGTCGACCTCCTGAAGGCGGGGTCATTTCTTCCGTCCCTTACGACCTACTAGTTCGGTTCAGCACCCAACAAACTCAACTTCGGCGTTTCTGCCAGCCACGTTCGCTTGCGCGTTAATTGGCGAAATGGCGGTTCGGTTCGGACTGGTGAGTCAGCCGTTCGGGCCGGCCTGGCGTCGCGTGGCGGGCATACGGCGTGGCGATACGTCTCCGCGGTACTAGTGTGTTTGCTTACGGCGCAGCGACACTTTGCCCCACTTGTAGGCGTTTGACACCGCGCCTGCTTTAAATTTATTCATTTTCGCGCGCAGTTTTCGAAAGAAATTCCCGCGGCCTGTCTCGTCGCTCTTCAGACCGCACCACACTTTATATTTGGAGCGACTTAATCGCTGTCGCCCTTGTGCCGAGACGCAACACTCAAGACTCCAGCGGAGGGGCGTAGTGTAGTGGGGTGCGGCCCCGAATGGGGTCATGCTGCCTCTCTAACGGGCTGCTCGAGGGCGGGCCGAGGGCGTGGGCGTCACGCGGTCCGGCGGAGCGAGCTCTAGCCCCTTCGGAAGCCTTCGGCGTCCCGGTCGGTCCCGGGGGCGGCGGGGCTAGTCAGCCCGGTCTGTCTAGCCAGGCAAGGCCGGACAAGGCCTGCCCTCGGGCCTGCCCCAGCAGCTGTCGGCCAGCTGGCTGGCCCGCGTCCGCGAGTCATTCCAGTTGGCGGCGCCCGGGCGTCAAGCAGTGCGCAGCAGCGTAGCAGTGTCTGGCAGAGGGTGGCGTCGGGGGCGGTTCGCCTTTCGCCCCTGCCAACCCTTGTTCTTGCGCTGCTTGCTCGAGCTTGCCGCTGCGTCACGCTGCCGGAGTCCATGGGGGGCCGCCGTCGCCGCCGTCGCCGTCGTGTGGGCTGTGGGGGTCGGGTCGCCGTCGTCGCGGTGGAGGGAGAGCCCCGGGCTAGGCGGGCTACGCTGCCTCCCACGTCGACTGCCTCAGCCAGGCGCCAGGTCGCAGACGACGGCATAGCGCAGTAGCACCAGCACCGCGGCCACCACCACCAGACGCTGGACTCCGCTCTGCTCCGCGAAGAGGTTCGTCAGAGCCAGGACTCTAATCAGTGAGTGTCGTGTGCGAGCGCCCGGTGGCCGTGCCTGCCGTGCCTGCCGTGCCCAGGGCCAAGGACTTCCCCCTTGCGGCGCCTCTTCGCTTGACATTCCCTGGACGCCGCCTTAGACGCCAAAGCAAGTTGAAGGGAGGGCGTGGCCGCCGGCCATCGGCCCTCGGCGTCGACGGGACGGGCCAGGACGCGGCCGCGCCAAACCAAACCTGCGTGTGGCTGTCTGGCTGTGCCCCGTGGGTGTTACCGGTGTTACCTCACGCGTGTGGGGAGGGAGGGGCAGGGGGCGGGGCGGGAGGGAGAGGCGAGAAGAGAGAGGAGAGAGGGCGACGCGAGCTCATCCGCCCAGCCAGTGCGGCGTGCGGCTAGCGCGGCCAGTACTCCGTGCCGCGGCTCTGTGCTGCCAGCCTGCCAGTGTGGCGTGCGCTGCTGCGCTGTGTTTGGCGTGCCGCTGTGACTCTGTGACCGCGAGGGCACACCGCGAGGCCGAGCCAGGCCGCGAAGCACGACGGGCAGCAGGACGAGGAGAGGAGAGTCGCGCTGCGCTGACGGCCGGACGCGTCACTGTCTGCCTTGGTACCCACAGGTGTCGGTCGGTTCGGTGCATCGGCGCGGTGCACGCGAGCAGCCAGTCAGCCAGCCAGCCAGTCAGCCAGCAGCAGGCGCCTGGGCGCGCGCAGCAGTGCCTTTCCCGCCGCCGGATTTCCCTCTTGGATTTCCCTCTCGGTTTTCCCGGCCGCGGAAAACGATGGCGGTGACGACGAGGACGGCAGCGCTGGCACTCCTGGTGGCGGGGGCCTTGGCGGCAAGCTTCAGCCTTGGCAGCGCGCAGTTCACGTTCCAGGACCGGGTGAGCAGTGATTGACAATGAGTGGGGAAAAACAGAGTGAACCGGATGAATGGAGACCGCAAGCAGGAGGGCCGGTGGATAAGCCTGACGGCACAGTTTTATCGAAAGCTCGTTCGATTGAGGTCACTTTTAGTGTTCCTGTTTCTGCAATTATGCAAAATATAGATAAATAAATTTTACCTGCTTGGGGTAGTACCTCTTTGCCTTGATGCTTCATAAGAATTTATTTTTTGGAACATTAAAGTAGGGCCACCTGCACGGTCGCATCAAATCAGTTAGTTCTTTTCATTAAAATTTTTATTTTTACCAAAAAATTTAATATTTTATTGTTTGTTTTAGTCATTTGGTGGTAATAACCGACAGAATCTTCGCATGGCGAAAGCACTTAATGGAAGTGAAAGCCACTTTGATGAAGTTCTTAGGAATATATTGGTTCCCCGAGTTGTTGGTACTTCGTCACATCAAAAAGTGAAAGAGGTATGTCATGTCAGGGATGAGTAACCCCAGTACTTTTGCTACTTTTTGAAGAATATTTAATTATGGTTTTGGTTTCTGGCTTTCAGTACATCATTGGTCAAATGAGAGGGCTTGGCTGGCAAGTGGAAACAACTCCATTTTACTCTAAGACACCTAACTTTGGGTCTCTGCTGTTTGAAAATATTATTGCCAGAGTGAACCCCTCAGCAAAGCAAGTACTTGTTCTGTCATGCCACTATGACTCAAAATATTTTACTAACATTGAATTTTTGGGAGCCACTGATTCAGCTGTCCCCTGTGCCATGCTGATAAATTTAGCTCATGCTCTTCAAAATGAACTTCCAGCTCTAAAGGCAACGGTAAGTGTTTGTTTATGTAAGTTAACTAAATTTTGTAATAATGTCAACATCATGACTCTAATTTCAGTCACTTGTCCTTTTCACAGGATGTGGGTCTTGAATTGTGGTTCTTTGATGGAGAAGAGGCCTTTGTACGCTGGGGGCCTAATGATTCTATTTATGGATCTCGCTATCTTGCTACCAAAATGGAAAAGGAAAATACCCTGGGAAAAATTGTAAGCAATTGCTGCAAAATGTTTGATCCCATCAATTTTTATCTGGATTCTGCTAATAATGTTGCTCTATACTTTTCCAGAAATTGTTTGTTTTATTGGACTTGCTGGGGACTCCGGGGCCCTATTTCTACAGTTACTCAAGAGCAACAGAGGGTGCTTACCGTACCCTGGCATCTGGAGAAAAGTTTCTGGCAGCATCTCGGCATTTGAAAGCTGTAGGTAGCAATAATGGATTCAGGGGACGGCGCCTCTCGTATTTCCAGGACAATTCAGTTTCTCATGCCGTTGAAGATGACCATACTCCTTTTCTTCAGAGAGGTAGAAATGATTTTTGTTTATTTTTGTGGATTACTTAAGTAATTGTTACGAAACACAAGCCTCTATAACTTTAAATTTCTTTTCCTGCAGGGGTGCCTGTTCTTCACATCATCCCTCATAAATTTCCAGATGTATGGCATACGAAGAACGACAACTGGAATGCCATTGATAGACCAACGGTAGAAGACCTCAACAAAATAATGAGAATGTTTGTTCTCAATTACCTTAACTTATGATTTCTTTGTTTCTGTTAAGACATTATTGAAAAGACTTACTCATTCTGAACCATGTAAAAAATTGCCAACTCAGTGAATATGTCTATCCCAAAGTTTTCATATTATTTTCTCCTTTTTGACTGTATAACTGTCATTGTCTTAAATTTTGTGACAACGAGGCACCCCTTGAAGTACTCATTAGTTCGTTTGTGATGCCCTTGGACTTCCCCCTCATCACTCAAATAGACCAGCTGATTCCTTTGGCTGCTGACAGTGGTCTTGAGAGTTCAACATTTTAACAATGTTAGGCTTAGTTGCTCTTGGTTACTATGCATCATGAAGCTCAATGAAAAGGTTGTGAGCTAATTGTAAGTTTTCCTAAAACACTATTGTTATTTTGTGATGTGATATTTTTTTACTTTAGGGTGCACTGAACACCATTAATGTTTTCATCTTATTAAAGTGACCCATCCTCGTTATTGTTTTTCATTATTTCTCCGATACTTTCAAAAATGCATAAAAATAAATTGCACGCTCGCAACTGCGTTCGAACGTGGCGCCATGAAGGGTAGGCCACCGGTCCTGACAACAACACAATACGAAACTTACTTGAAAGCGCACGAACGTGCTCAAAAAGCAGCCTTTGGAGGCGAGCTTCGTGCTCCATCACTCTACACGTTAATTTCTGCTTCGATGAACATGCCAAAGGTAGATTTGGTCCAAAGTGGTCAAGGACTGCGAGCCGCGCTTGTCGCGTTGGGACTGTTGGAACGGGTCGATAACGCCCCCACCCCCCACTCTTCCCCTTCCCCTTCCTCTTTCAGTGTCCCTGCGTCGTCTGGCTTTGACAGTTGTGGGCAAAATGGCGCTCAAGGCACTCGTCGGTCAAAGTAAGTAATTTGGACTAATCTAGACCCGAAATCAACGCTATAATCAACATTCTGTGCTATATTTGCGATGGAATATCGAATTAGTATGAAAATTTTGCGTATTCCGGGGTGAATATCGGGAAACGACACTTGCACAACCTCTCCTTAGGGTTGGGTTCAAGTGTCACCATTTAGTGTTAAAAGTTGTGGGCGTGTCATAACAAACACCAATGCAACTATTTCGACATGAATTTATCGATTTGCGATACGTTTCTAAAAAATTTCATCTGTTGGTACCAAATTGTCAAACGATGAAACTCAATTCCCAACCTTCCTTTCATGTTGTTCTGACAATTGATTAGGTCCATTCTCTTAGTCTCTGGGCTTGTTGAATTGATATTGTCAGTTGTCATTCCCATATATTTTTCTAAATATTTTTTTACTATTTTTCTATTTGGTTAAAGTTAACATTGCCAAATTACAGGGATAGTGAGTCATCATCAAGTCATTATCAGTTCTTTTCAGCCCTAGTAGTTTAAACATCAGATTTAAAAAAGCCTCCCCTTTCCTTTTTTCTTCCCTGTATTTTTGAAAACCTTATGTCCTGTGAACTGACGGAATTTTTTTTCTGCTTTCAGAGATTATGAATGAGGTGGTTCGCTCTAAAACAAAAAAGGGCAAGGAGATGGAATGGCGTGTGCTTGTTGTCGATCAACTTGCAATGCGCATGGTGTCGTCTTGTTGTAAAATGCATGACATTACTGCAGAAGGAGTCACAAGTAAGTATACGACACAGATTATGATGTCCCAACTTTGAGAAGCATGTTTACCTAATTGGTATTTTATTTCCTCAGTCGTTGAAGACATTCACAAAAAACGTGAGCCACTCGCCACAATGGAAGGTGTCTACTTAATCACGCCGTGTGAGAGGTCTGTTCATGCACTCATGCAAGACTTCAGCTCCCCCAACAGAACCATGTACAAAGCGGCTCATGTTTATTTCACAGAAGGTGAGTGAGCAACGATCCAATTAAACACATCCACTCCACTGTTGAATAGAAAATCAACCTGCTGGCTTATACCACCTGTGATCAGTGCTTTAGACCAGGAGGTAAAGAAGCTGTTTCTGTCACTTTCAATGATCATAGATTTATTTCTGGTTGGTTTCTGAATCATTCTGACTGTGGCCTGGTTGGTGGATCATTTTCATACTTAAAGCTTTCATAATCACACCATTTGGTTACAGTGATATCTGATTTACATATTAGTAAGGGTGTCCTCCAGCTAGCGTTTATTGTAACAACTATGCTGGGTACAGATTCTGAGTCAGTCAGCAACCCTACCTTGTTACAAACTCATTGTTTGCAGTTTATCAGTTTCTTTGCCTAATTTTTCTCTCCAATTTTGAAGCTTAGACCCTGATTTTGCAGCAAAGGGCCCTTTGTTTTTGTTTTGTTGTTTCAGCAGCAGTACCCCCCCCCCCCTCCCCCAATTTTTAGTTTTCCCATTGTTTAAGATTAAATCTGTTTCAGCTTGCCCTGACGAACTATTTCAAAAATTGGCTGAAGCGCCTGTAGCAAAGTATATTAGAGCTTTAAAGGAAATTAATATAGCATTCATAGCTAATGAAGAACAGGTAAAGTTGATAATGGAAGGTGGTTTTATGAATGTGGTGATTGTGGTGCTAACCCATGCTGTGTGGTGTTGGGGGAGGGTGCGCTCATGGTCCTTTTTCTTTGACAAACTGCAATGGATACAGTCTCAAACGGGTTTTATAAGCTGTGCTTTTGGTGAAGTGAATCTGCTGTTTTCTCTAGTTCCTTTGTTTTTAATAACATTCTAATCATCTCTCTGAATTGGTTTTAATGGATGTGTCAAAAATCTTGCTGAAGTGCTTTTCCTGCAATGTCTCAGGCTCATTGCTTGTGGTTGCGTTCCTGGTGAAATGCCTTGTCATGCAAGTTTTGGTGCTTTATTAAGTGTATATGGAAACCTTCTGCTTCACAGTGTGCCCTGAAGAACTCTTCAATGAACTGTGCAAATCTTGTGCTGCTAAAAAGATTAAGACACTGAGAGAAATCAACATTGCTTTTCTCCCATATGAGTGTCAGGTTTGTTTCTCATATTCCAGTCTGCTTAGTAGTGGTGCATTGCATGAATTTTATTGTTGGTTCTTTCTTTCCTGCAACAAGAATTCTAAAAAAAAGAAATAATACAAAAATACATTTACATATCTTGTGTTTTGTTGTCACAGGAAAATGGGCATAATTTACAAGATTTAGTATACTTGTTCAAAAGTTAATTTTGAAAAATCTCTTTTACTCTTCCTTACCATTTCCATTCAAAATATTTGTTGGCTTTTGTCTTTTACTTACTTTCCAAACCTTGCCATGTTTCTTCCTACACGATTCAAATTAATATTTTCTCTGTTTTGGGGACCAGGTGTTCTCTCTGGATGCACCTGAGACATTCCAGTGTATGTACAACCCACAGTTCATCAATACACGCAGTGCCAACATGGAACGCATTGCTGAGCAAATTGCGACACTCTGTGCTACTCTTGGAGAGTATCCATCTGTACGCTACAGAAGGTAAAGAGTTCACTTTATTTTACTGAGCTAACTTGTGGTTTCGTAAATTTTGTGACTAAGTCAAAGTGTGAATTGTGATATATACTGTGATATCCTACAGTGATTTCGATAAGAATGTGGAGCTGGCACAAATGGTCCAACAGAAATTGGATGCATACAAAGCTGATGAGCCCACCATGGGAGAAGGCCCTGAGAAAGCTCGTTCACAATTGCTGATCTTGGATCGAGGATTTGACTGTGTATCTCCACTCCTGCACGAGCTGACATTCCAGGCTATGGCATATGATCTCTTGCCTATTGAAAATGATGTTTACAAGTAAGTGGGTGCCTTTCTTAAGAAATGAGTTAATGCTTGAAGTATATCTTCTGATCTTCCTTAACTGCTGCCTACATTTTTTTTAGGTATGAAGCTACGCAAGGACAACCTGAGAAAGAAGTTCTATTGGATGAAAATGATGAGTTGTGGGTTGAGTTGCGTCATCAGCATATTGCTATTGTGTCGCAGTAAGTATTTCTCACATATTTTTTCTATTGTAAAATATCATGGAACTTTGCATGTGTATTAACTATGTCTATTTTTGTGTCAGGAATGTCACCAAAAACCTTAAGAAATTCATCGACTCTAAACAACGTATGCCAACTGGAGACAAACAGTCAATGCGTGACCTCTCACAAATGATCAAGAAGATGCCCCAGTACCAAAAGGAACTAAGCAAATACTCCACACATTTGCACCTTGCTGAAGACTGCATGAAAATGTATCAGGGCAATGTTGATAAATTGTGTCGCGTCGAGCAAGATCTGGCTATGGGCACAGATGCTGAGGGAGAACGCATTAAGGATCATATGCGCAATATTGTGCCCATTCTTCTTGACCAAAACATTTCAAACTATGACAAGATGCGTGTGATACTTCTTTACGTCATTTCAAAAAATGGTATCACTGAAGAGAACCTCACTAAATTGGTGCAACATGCACAAATTTCCAGCTCTGAGAAGCAAGCCATTGTGAATCTGGCCAACCTTGGACTGAATGCAGTGGTTGATGTAAGTCAATAGCTATCTTTCTTTTTTGGCCATTTAACAAAAGACATTTTTGAAACTTACTATACTCTTTATTATGTTCAGGGCACAAGAAAGAAGATATACAATGTTCCACGGAAAGAGCGTATAACAGAACAGACCTATCAGATGTCCCGCTGGACTCCTGTTGTAAAGGACATCATGGAAGACTCCATTGAAGAAAAACTTGACCTGAAGCATTTCCCTTTCCTGGCAGGCAGAGCAGCTACTGGCAACTATCATGCCCCTACCAGGTAAATCTTTTCGCATTCCTGCCTTATAAATTTATCCCATAGCCTTGACAGGAATTCTCATTGAAGTTGCTTTGGCAAATTGCAGCAGTGCGCGATATGGGCAGTGGCACCGTGACAAAGGTCAGCAAGCGGTGAAGAATGTGCCTCGCCTGATAGTTTTCATCATTGGTGGATGTAGCTTCTCTGAAATTCGTTGTGCCTATGAGGTTACCAACCAGGTGAAAAACTGGGAAGTTATTATTGGTAAGAGGTTTTTTCCTATCAGTTTTAGTTTCATCCCTTTGTTGTAATATGAGTATCAATTTACTGACATATAATTTTTGTTGTTTCAGGATCGTCTCACATTCTTACTCCAGAAGATTTCCTTACCAACCTTTCCAATCTAAGTTCTTAGATTGATGGAGTTTCTCTATTTCAATATGCTGCACATAAGCAAGATTAGCATGTGCTATTGGCCTCTGGAGTTGCTTGATGGTCTCCAATTGCATTCTTGTTGTTTCAGTTGTAAATGTCAATTTGAATTAGATACATCGCTTTTCGTACTATCCTTGCTTCTAATTGAAGGAAAAAAAAAAAGTTTATTAAACTGGGGTGCCTACCTCTGAACATTAAAGAAAAGAAATGAGCTGGCAATCAAATTCCCAATATCCATGGTTTTCTTTTTTAATTTGGACATTTTCAGGCAGATGGTGCACCATAATTTCTTACAACTGAGGTTTTCTTTCTGGCTCCTCTAGGAATATGTTTTGATCGGAGTCTTTGCTTTGCCAATCTCTCTTATGTCAAATCCATGTCAGTTTTTATTTGGCATTCTAACTGTTCTGAGGATAGCAGTGTTTAAATAAGACCCCTGTACAACAAAAAGTGATATGTAATGCGAGTAGTGATATTAGTTTGCTGTGAATATTTTTCACTATTTGATCTATCCAAACAACTCTCTTTCCTTTCCATCAGCTCTCGAGCTGGCAGTGAGAAAACGTGATGTCTTAACCATAATTTGTGTAATATTATTCATACAGTTGCCGAATAGATTCATAGCTGTGCCTTCTAGCTTCAGAATTGTTGACTCCTTTCTCAATTTTTTTATTTAGTGAAAATACTTCAAATTTCTTTTGTGCTGCTTGTTTTGCATTTAATTTTAACCTCTGCTTAGGTGAACATAGTAGATAGGTTGTTTCTATATCACTCTTTTGCATGAAATGATGTTCCAGTAATGTTTTTTAAAGAGCACTGAAAAATCCATAGCTTTGTTGCTTATTTTAAATTTTTACTTTGCTTTGTTCAATATTTGTAGTTCTCCTGTACATAGACTATGTAAAAGATATTTGCTAGCAGATCTTTCTATACAAACAATCTCTGTTTTGGGATTTGTTAGTTTTTAATGTAAAGGAGCATTTTTGTTTGTTTGTTAAACTGTTGTATATAAGATTTATTAAAATTTGTTAATGTACTTCTGTTGTAAATTACTGTGTATGTTTTGCTTGAGTTGGTAGGGCATTTTGATCAGTACACAACCAGGCAAAGTGCCTTAGAGCTTGGAGTTACGGATGTAGATATTCACAACCTGGGATAAGCTAGAAGAAGACCTGCTGTCTTAAACCACTCTTATTCACAGTGCTGCCAAAAGTGTGGACCATCAAAAAAATAATTTAAAAAATCGATTTTCTTTGTACTTACATTCATTTAGTGTGATATGAGTATTACAAATAGCAAATTTTCACTCATGATACAACTAAATCTTGTACAGTCGAAAATCTCTCTAACACAGGTTGCGACTTATCTGGCGGTGTGTACTGTTGGTTATCTGCTCATTCGAACGTGTTAGCTGCCTTTGCTAAATCATTGTATCTATTAAGAGTTTAATAGAATTGTCATTAATTAAATCTGGCAAATTTGGATAGGCTTTTCATTACCTAATTACTGCTGATTAATTTATCATTCCAGTTTTGGGTCAAGTCAATTTTAACTAGTATCTTGGTTTTGTATGAAACCTTATATTATGATTCAATTGTTATGGTAATCAGGATAAACCATTAAAAATTTTACGGTAGAATGTACTGTTTAGCCTCGTAGATGATCAGAGTGTTTTGAACATTTCATACTATTTGACAGTTAGGAGTATTAATACTAGTATTCTCTCAAGATGGAGGGTATTTTCTTAAAGTAACTTTACACCAATGTATTTTTCCGTTTATATGTAAGTCTATGTTCAGTATTTTCCCTGCTATTTTAATTTGGATACCTGTAAAGGAGAACTAAGAAATAAATTATCATGGAGCCTTTATGTTTGTTTGTGAAACCACTGCTAAAGTTTCTTGAAAGTGTATCTTAATGTCACAATAGCTTATTAGTTAATCTTCTCATCACACTTTTTTATCTTAAAAATCTTCAGCTTAAAATTTTGTTTCACAAACTTTAAAGTTCTTACTGCATATGAAGTTTATCATTCTAGTACTTTCTTATTATTGGCTAGAAAGTTGTTAAACAGATTATCTCAGACTCAGAGCTGTGCCGGCAAAATTTCATGCCACTTAATTCCATGAAAACAGGTTTTGCATCTTCTCTGAATTGATTCACTCTTTTCACCTTGCTCCACTGGTAAAGTTGTCTTGTGTAGTATTAAACCTCATCGATGGTAACCTTTCCTAATATCTGATGATGGCTTTTCCCAAAACAATGCTGTAGTATGTTACCAGTGGTGAGGGAAAGAAAATTCTGGACAGTACAAAAGTCTCTAATGGAAACATTGTCACTTTCAAATGTTGCAAAGTTACATTCATGTGCAATATTACTCTAGCGTTTGTCATTAAGTAAGTAAAGAGATGAGTATACCTAATTGAATGATATGTCTCAGGACACCACTTCTCCATATTTATAGATTGAATAGAATAGGAAGGATGCACATGATCTCTTTGGAATGGAAGGAAACCTTATGTAAGCATTCTTACATTTTTTTCCCCTATAAGCATTGTATTTGGCTTCTGATACTAACTTCAATCATAAATTGTTTCTTCATGAAAGTTGCACGTGGTTTGAAGCATACCATGGTGCTGTCTGAATGTGATTGCATGCAAGATGAGTTTGGAATTTTCAAATTGTAAATCCATTATCCTCATGACGCAATTCATACTTAATACTGAGCTACTTAGATTTTTAGAATTTGAGACATCAGCTGACTGATTTTGGAAAAAAAACCTCATTTCTGTAATTTTAATTACTTAAAGCTTTAGTGGTGAGGCAATGGCCCTTTTCAGTCTTATCTTTGCAAAATTACATCACAGTCCCAGTAAATTTCAATTTCATTTGCAAAATCAATCAGCTTTTTGTTGACTTAACCAATTGTCTTGAGGATATACTTGGCGTCATATTCTAGTCATGTATTTAAACCAGTTGGATTCATTCCCTCTGTGCTGTGCAGATCTTGATTCAGAAATAAAACCACTGTCTACACTACTTTTTCTAGCAGTCTTCATTGAAACCGCATGTGTCTGACTCCACTAAAATACATTTTCACCAGAAATAACTGTAGTTTCAGATGTTGAAAAGTTGGCTACCACAATTCCTTCCTCTGCAGTGAAGCAGCCCAACAGGGTTAGCCCTGGAGGACTCAAGACAGGGTTATAGGGCTTTACTCTACAGCATCAGCAGCTGTATTGCCATTTTTCAACCCTTGAGAGACAAACTTGACCTTGATCTAGTGTCTGGTGTTATTGTAGAGGGCACCCAGGTAACAAGAATAATTCAAAACAAGTAATGAAGAGATCAGGTTTGGGTTTCTTATTTTCAAAGATATCTGTGCAAAATGTTTTAAACACAAAACATAATTGTTTGAAACATTTTGCAAAACCATATATACACACTTTTTCACAAAGCACAGTAAGTACATCACATAATAATGGTATGTACAATCTCACAAATTATGTTTCACCACAGAAAAGACTAGAAACACCTTCAACATATTATGGCACAGCACATACATTTAAAAAAAATTACTTTTCTTTAAACTTCTGATTGCAAAATCAGAACTTCATCTTCCTAATAGTAACATAACTTTGAAGTAGACAAGAAAGAGAAAACAAGAAAGGTAGTGATGTTGAAGCTGAAGTTGAAGCTGGCTCATCCTTATTGGCAAAGGAAGAAAGCTGGCACTGTGTGTGAGGGTGAAAGACAAGATGCAAATAAAGAAACAACACTGCTTTGTCACAGAATAATGTGATTCCAACACAGTTTCACGGTAGGCAATCAAAGGATTCATACTTTTGACTGATATGAATGCTCCTAACGCATTGGTCAAATCTAGAAAGATACGGATCAATATTCACAAAGAAAACAAAAAAAAGGTAGAACTTTATCATTGCTGCAAAGGGTAAAACAACATTTAGGAAAAAAGGAAGAAACCAAAGCTTATGCTGATGTCTTACATTAAGTATAAAATATTTTCTAGCTTGGGGCAATATCTATCAGATCCAGATATGACAAAAAATTTGTGCTTGGAGACATCACTCCAGTCTATAGCTAGAGGAAGAAAGAAACAAAGGAGAATAAATACACTAATTCTATTTTGTTGTGTTACACTTTCGCTTCAAGGCTGCTGCACACATTTTTAAAAAAATCACTTTATGAGTCCCAGTTAATTCAGTAAAAGTCTAAAAGCCTTTCAAAGTGAAACACTAATTCAGATGGAAATTGAGTTGGAGCTGAGATAGTATGGAGAAACAGCAGAGATAGTATGAAGAACAAAAAGCTTTGATCGATAACACATATTTTTCCAGCTGTAGCCAAGATAATACATCCGAACATAAACTACCTGGACTTGGATGACAAGATAGAGAAGTCCGTGCAGGACTTCATAAGAAAATAGACAAAATAGCTGATACAGAAGAATAGCTGGTCATCAAATTTCGATGACCGATTTCTGAAGAGTTGTTTAAGTACAGCTCTGAATATTGCAAAATGTGGATGAGGGACCACAACAATTTAACGGGTCGTTAGTTATCTAAGACTTGAGTGCATGTGAGTTCGCGGCCTTTCCCATCTGCATGAATGCACTTAAGATTTAGTCTGTTTGGTAGCCCAGGCGGTTCTACTTGTGCTGATGGTGTTCTGGACACAACATTCGTTGGCACCGTTGGTTTAACTGCAGGAGGGTTAGGCGGAGGTCTTCGTCTTACACTATCTAAGGGCATTGACCCAGAGTGTGGATTTGACCTCATCTGTCGAATGGTTTGCGGCTGAGTGATACAGTTTCCCAAAAGCATAGCCAAAATGATAGCCAGCAGAATGGGAATAGCGACGTACAGTGCCCGTTTCAGCACTGACGCCGGCTCCTGATGCTAGGAATTATCTCTGTCTTTTACAATGTGCTCTGCCTTGTACACGCGATGACTGATGAGTACATCTCGTAGCAGTTTGTAAAGAGTGTAGTAATTGAAGAACAGTAGCGAGGCCATACTGACTGACTGGTACCATTCTTGAGCAGTGGCCAATTGAACCAATTGAATTAATATCATTAACATGTGCATTGAGAGCACAACTAAATAAATCCGAGTTGGATTTTGAAACAAGTCCTAAAAAAGACAAAATTGAAATAAATTAAAGTATGTAGTTTTTTTGTATTCTTCATTAGCATTATGCATCATAACTTATGCTTACATAGAAACGGTTATGAACCTGATTCCCTGGCTCTGCAGCATTAGTAGTGTTTAAAGCCTGGTACAGCTTATCATAATGTTTAACCACCGATTCATTCGGCCATAGTTTGTTACCTGTCCAACTGAAACAAAATAATTTTTTTAACAATTGATAATTTTGCCAGTGTTTTAAAAGAGAAATTCTTTGATTTAGTGCAAGACTTACTTAACATTGGAATGAGGCATTATTAATCGGTGCCATCTCCCAAGATGGAGAGCACATCTGTGCATTACATCGCAATACCTGCGGTAACACAAAAAAAGTCAAATTAGTATGAGACACCAATAATGTACATATACTTAAACAATGGCATTGACATATGTAGATTAGATACATACCGCACAGGAAAGCAATGAGTAAGGTACATGACAAAACTGCCAAGCCACAACCAAAGAATGTGAAAGGTTGCCCAATAAGTTTCATAGTACATCATAGTCTTCATCATTAAAACAAAAATACACAATATTATTTCCTTCATCAAATCCCAGAATGCAGATCATTACTTTGCAGATTTTTGTAATAAAATTTATCTTACCGTTGCAAAGCAACAGGGAATAAACCCAGCATAATATGCTGAAAATACTGAATTGAACAAAACTTGTTTCATTCTGTTGTTGATATCGCTCTTTAATACATCCACCTCTTCCCGTATTGCTTCAGGAGAAGTAGAGCAATTGTGCAAAGGACTTCCATCAAAACCTGGCGAATAAAAATGTTTACATGTAACAATCCAAACAAAATTACTACACAACTATCATAGAATTTCAGTACAAATTGTGAACCTACTTAAGAGGGTACTACATTTCTGGTCTAAATCAGAAATGGGAAAAACTGCCAGATCAAAAAAGGGGCCCACAGTCAGCCCAAATAAAATAAAATAAAGGGAAAGCCTGAGAAAAATGAATAACATTAGCAAGTACATTAGGCACAGAAATAGGTCCAAAACTATTTCCAACAAATTATTACTTACGGATAACATAAATAAAATAATTTAACTATGGGATGAGTGTGCATAATGTTGTAAAGACATATTAGGATCACTGCTCCCACCCATAGCAACATAATAACTTGTAGAACTTTTCGAGCTGCTGGCCAGAGTACAGAAGACAAGTAGGCTTGGCCTACACGAGCAATCATGGTGTAGATGAGACGTCGCATTAGAATTACTCCGATAAAAATCAGCAAATGGATGTCTATCATCTGAACATTCTGAAAAAAAAAAAGTAACAATGACATTAATTAACATTGGCTTAAAAATTTGAGATGGAACTGATAGTGATTTATTTAGTGATATTTGCAGCGCTTACCAGAGCAAAGTTGGTGAAAGAGTAAGGAAGCCAGAAGACTGATCGATAAATTATTAAAAATTGGAGAGCGCAACAAATGGCTGAGAAGACGAACATTATGAGTTCAAATAATACATCTCCATCTCTGGGTATTGGTGGTATTGGTATATGCTTAGGTAAAGAAGAGTGTGGAACAGCTTGTGGATAACTGCAAAAATAAATAAAATAAATAAAATAAAATAAAAACAATGATGTACCAGCACATACACTCCACAATCTTGCAAAGTGCAAACACAAGAAAATAAAAACCAACCTGTGAGAGGTGTCATTCCCGTTGCAGTTCCTTCCATGGCGCGTGTTGTGATTTATATGAGCAATGACTGGCGCTCCATGAGGTCCATGAGGAGCTGGAGGATGCGGTGCATGAACATGTAAGGGGTGTTGCATATTTCCTTAATGTGGAGCTGATTCATGAAATAGCGACAGATTTGCATGGAAACAATGCATGGGCACCGCTCTCATCCACCAACTGAAAAATAGAAACAGACGTGGTTTGAAAATAAAAGGGCAAAACAAAACTGTGCTGATATAAATAAATGATTAAGTCTGCTTAGAGCTTCTCAAACATAAAAGTTTTTCAACACACTCATATATGTCCGGTACGTCTTACAGAACATGCAACCAGTGGAACCATAAAGGATAAAAAAGTATCATCTTTGTTCAAAAGGTAAGGAAATGCTAGTCCTCAGTTGACTGTGAAGAGAAACAGCTGTAATCGCACAAACTGATTCCATTTCCTAACCTCAACTGTGACATTTCTTATAACCCGGGCACATCAAATTCGTATATATTTGAACGACAGGTTTGGAATAAGGTGCGAGACTTATTAGAAAAGTAATAATACCTTGATTTGTTGACTTACCAGCAGAAGACACTGTCCCTGCTGGGAACCGCCGCTAAGTCAGCCTTCCAGTAACAGCCGCTACAGAAGGCAGAAAGTGTGATGGCCACGAAATTGTTACCTCCCTAACAAGCAGCACATTCGGCGATTCTACAGCTACAAGTTTTCATTGATGCGTCGGCGTGTATGTGACGAAATGTCGAAATCATCGACTCCGCAAACCTGTCTTGTTTGGCTATTTTCGTGGGCCTTTGACATAAGTTCATAAACAAAACACGAACGGATCGCAGGCCAGAAACCACATTCACATTCAAGTTTGCATTCGATTCGGCGTGTGGGCTCACGAGACTACGGCACTGGGAGGAGAGCGTGCGCGGAACAGTTTAAATTTGGTAGAGTCCTAAAGGCCCTAAAGGGCCCTTTAGGGTCTTTAGGACTCTAAAATTTGGGTCTTCTTGGGTCGAAATGGAAGGTTTGTTTCATGTTTTTTTATCGGAATACCGAAGGAAAGCAGGAGGAAGGGGGTTGCGTTCTGCGTTCGACTAGTCGGGGAGTCTAGAGCGCGAGCATGATCCCTGTATTTGCCCCATTTGCCCCATGGCTAGTGCACGATGTGCACGAGGGGCAATTCCGGGGTTGTGGCTGACAACACGAATAACACGGTGCGGAGGGACAGGGACCGGGCGAGGCTGAGGCTGCGTTCCACTCCGTTGGGTCAGCCCGGAGCCAACAGCAGCCAACAGCAGCCAACGGGGGCGCTCGCGCTCGCCGGCCTGCTTCCTGTTCCTGTGCTGTTTTAATTTCCGTTTGCTTTAGCCGAGCCGCCCTCCCCCCCTCTAACATGGAATATAGCTAAGATTGAAGCAACACCATTATAGTGTTGTGCAGATGGAACCCCAAGGCACCCTTTGCAAGAAAAAACAATCCAACTATAGTACAGTGCAAACCAAAGGAGGAGAACTCAGAAAAGACAAAAGCTCTTCTTTTCTTCAAAAATGTGGCTTGGCCTTCCCCACGCACCGGCCGTACTGCAAGGCTTTTCGGTGCCATCTTTTTTGTTTTCACGCCCCTACACTGACAGTGCAGCCACTGCACCGCCAGGACACCCCCCGCTGGCGAAATGGGAAAAAGGGAAGCGTCACTGGAGCTCCGCACTCCGCGCTCCGCAGCAGAACTGTGGACAAGTTTCCATTTTATTTTTGTGTTGTTCTTGTCGGATTAACTTCCCCACTCACTAAAGCATTTCCGCCCAGTCATAAAATTGTTTGTAAACAGGGTGGCCAGACACGGACTACTTTTCCCGCCAACTTTCCGCCCGTCTTCCTGGCTCTTGACGCTCTTGACTTGGGGCGGGGCGGGGCGGGGCGGGGCGTGCGGCAGTGCAGCGCGGCTTGCCGTCGAACTAGAGAGGCAGCCGATGCTGCCGCGCCGAGCTGCGCACCGCGCGGACCCGGTCCAGCGGAAGCGAGAGAAGCGAAGGGAAAAAGATTCCCCAGAGTCACGTTGGCCCGATTCTGCCAGAAGAAGCTGCGCTACAGGCTGCCCACCCCGCCCGGCCCGGCCCACCCCGCCCCGCCCCGCGCCAAGATAAACAACTCATTGGAATCGAGAGTCGCGGCTGTCGCGGCGCGGCACGGCGGCACGGGCAGAGCCTTTGCGAAGGAGGACGGCAACGGGGGGCTGGGATGGGGACTCCAGGCTCCAGACTTGCAACGGGGTGGTCGCGGTTTAGAGAGGAGGGGGTGGGTGTCGCCATTCGATTGTCATCGCCACGTGCCTGCCTGCTTGCCTGCCGGGGCAGCGCAGCGAGAGCGAGCACGCGCGTCATAAGCACAACACGGTTGGTATTCCGCTTTCGCGCCACTCCAGTGGAATGGCGGGCCCTTTCACGCTCCGTCATCGCGCCGGCCCACCTTTTCACTCACTCTCTCTCTCTCTCTCTCTCTCTCTCTCTCTCTCTCTCTCTCTCTCTCTCTCTCTCTCTCTCTCTCTCTCTCTCTCTCTCTCTCTCCCCCTCTCTCTCTCTCTCACACACACACACACAGACGCGCGCACTGGGGGAGAGGGGGAAGCGAAAGAAGAGCGGCCCAAGATTTGGAATTCCTTCGATTGTCTGGGGCAGGCAGGCAGGCAGGCGGCAGGCCGGGCCCGCCCGAGCGATCGGTGAGGTCGCAGATCGGGTGTAGGGCTGATGGTAGGGCCCCGGCCCCGGGCCGGCAGCCCCAACGGCCCCAACCAACAGGCGCTGGGCCTCGCCGGGCCGAGTCGGAGGGAGGGAGAGAGACGGAAGGGCGAAAAAAGGGGAGGGGTGGAGATGCGTGCGTGGAGCCCGAGACAACAGCAGCCCGCTGCCACGGCGTGAACACATATTTATAGCAGACGATACCCCTTTACTTTAAAGACCATGCATAAGAAATGTACACGACATATTATTTCCTTCAGAGACCTTTGGACAGGCGCGGGCAATGTATGACCACAGCGGTGGTGAACATTCCCAATGTTAGCTTTACACACTCCGGTTCGCGGTGTAGCACGGCCTACCGCTGCATTGTTCTATTGTGCCGGTAAATTAATTAACATTTTCTTTTGATTAAAACACTAAACTTTTTACGCTCCCTATCCGCCTGTGGGCCTTATCATCTGGTGAGTTGTTGCGTGGAAAGAAGGTAGCTAGACAGCCGCCTCTCCTTGCTCAATTTTGTGACTTTCAGAATCGTTTCCACAAGCGCCGCCAAAATATTTTCTCAATCCAATAAAAATAAACATTCACGGATACATACGCATTCCATTCACCTTTTTTCCCCATTTCTTTCTGAGCAGCAACAGTTCGATATGCGTGTCTGCTTTTGTATAGCCCCGTTTGGCTCGGCTGTGCCATGGCTGTGCCTCAACTTCTACCTCGGTCTGTTTGGCCAGTGCTTTGTGAATACGTTTGCCGTGTCCGTGTGTGGAAGGAGGGTGCATGTGTGTGTGAGAGGGTGTGCGGGGGGTGATGCGGCCCATTGTCTGAACGATTCTTTCGCCACCGCCACGGCCGAACTGCAAGCCAAAGGCCACACCACACGGTGTGTGTGTGTGTGTGATGTGCAGAGGACTGGGAGGGAAGGGGAAGGGGGGGGGGAGCCACCCCACGTCCAGCCAACCCGATAACTTCTTAATCGTCCAACTTTCAAGCACTGCAAAATCGGGGCCTAAAAAAATTGCAGATGAACAACAGCCCTGGAAAATTGGTCTTTAGAAAATGTGAGAATTTAAAACGGCGGAGAGTTCTGGCCGGAGCGTCCAGGTTGTACAGTGTGCCACTGTACCCAGGCCCCGTTTGGCGACGTTGGCGACCGTCGACGGGACCCAGGATCCTGGAGGCATCCTTCGGCATGGCTGGGCACAGCATTCGGCAGGCTGCGAGCCCCCAGCAGCCTCCAGCAGCCCCCAGCAGCCTCCACCAGACCCCAGCAGCCTCCACCAGCCTGCAGTCGCGGGGCTCAATGAAGCGTGCCTCGGCAACGGCGTCGTGGTGTTCGTGGTGGTCGTGGTGGTCGTGGTGGTCGTGGTGGCCCTGGTGGCCGTGGTCCTCGAGGCGGAGCAAGTCGTGCGCGCGGTAATCCTTACGCGCCGTCCCCCTCCCCTCCCTTCTCGCTCCTCCCTGCTTGCGCACTTGTTCGCGCCGATTATCGAGATCCCGAAAACCGCCCGATCAGCAGCCCTGCCGGGGGCCCCGCCGGGAAGGGATGGTGGGGGCCGTCCCGGGGTGCTTGCATTCACTCAGCCTCCTCGGCGTCTCCGTCGGCCCCGCCCCACCCGGCCCAGCCCAGCCCCGCCAGCGAGTGCTTACATCATTCAAACGCGACCCGCGGCGGCGGCGTCGTGCACGTCGTGGACCTGGTGGCCGGCCCCAGCCTGCCCCAGCTTGGCCCAGACCCCCGCCCTTCCCTTTCCGCTCCATATATATCGGTAATGTGGGATATCTTTTTTCCGCGGCCCCTTGCCCCTTTCTCTCTGGCCGGCTGTCGGGAAAGGAGCGGCCCGGAATGGGAATGGCACCGAACGGCACCGCACGGCACGGGACGGCGGCCGAGAAGAATACGTCGAACCGCGACGACGACGTCGGGGACGTCGGGGACGACGCCGGCCCGGCCGGAAGACGGAAAAAGTGGCGAACCAGATTCGTTTCTCATCCACGCTAAAGAAAAATAGGGAACCCTGGCTAAGCAATAATTTCTTGGCTATTTTCTCTCTCTTTCTGTTCCTTTGCGCGTTTTTTTACTAACCCGACCCGCCCTATTCACGACGGTCCACGCGGCGACATGGCGCTGGTGGTAGCGGTGGTGGCCACGCCGCCGCCAGACCACCGGCAGCACCGGCAGCGAGGGTCGTTTTCGTCGTTCTGTCTCTCTCGCACCTATCCGGGACTGCCCTTGAGTGCGAGAGGGACGGAGCGACTAAAAACGCCTCTCGGAATCAGTCTGCAGGCCGGCAGACTGGCGAGGTGAAGCGCGACGCTTTTATCTCTCATCTCCGGCGCCCTGAAAACCAGCAAACCAGCAGACGCAAGGAAAAAAAAAGAGAAGAAGAGGGAGAAAACTTGAAAGGGGTACGGGTTGACACCCCGTTTCTCGCACTTTCACAAAAAGGCGCCAACTTTTCAACCATAACTCCGTTTCGCACTCAAAGAGACGGCAAAAAAACAAAAACAAAAAAACAGCAGGTGCAGGCGCAGGTGCCGATGTTCGGTACTCGGACAAATGAACAAATGCAGCCATGTAGCCTCGAACGAGGCTTCGTGCGAGCGGCGCCATTCGGGCTTCGCGGGCGATCGACAGACGTACGTCCCTCATCACTGCCAAACGGGATTGGGCCTAGCGAGGTGCAAAGATCGAGTGTTATGGCCCTTACGGCGGGGGGCAGGGCTTGGGCAGGGGGCTAGGGCTCGCCCCTCCCTCCTCTTTTCTCTCTTTGGCCCTTCGGCCCTTAATGAGGCAGATTGCGGGGCTTCCGAGAGGCAGGAGGGGAAGGGGGAGAGACTTGCCAGGAGCAGCGGCACACAGGGGGCTGGGCACGGACGTGCACAAAACTATATAGAGCACGAACGAAAGCAAAAACATTCCTCTGCGCGCTCCTACTTTGATAGTGACGGATATTCTTATGGCGCCGAAACAATAAACAAGGGCTAAGAGTGGGGATTTGAACCTACGGCCTTCGCCTGCCAATAGTCCGCGTTAACGATCTCGGCTACGGCGCCGCATGCCGGGTAGGCCCATCTGTCCTCGGCCGCCCCCGCAGAATCCGTGTGGCGGCGGTCGTT